TGTGGGTACACAAATGATGAGACTTGGTCGCTGGACCTCATTTCTGTACAGGTCACTTCTGGCTTCAACTGGGGAACACCACTTGTATCCTCCACCACAGAGAGAGTTTCCTCCTTACTGCTTGGAGAACCCTTAGGATTCATTACCTGCAGCCTATAACCAATAGGATTTTCAACGTTTGTCTCCATCAGTTTATCTATCTTCCTTGGGATTCCTATCCTGTCTAGTGTTATTACAAAGAATGACAAACTGACTTTGGGCATTGAAAGGCAGAAATACAGATAAAACTATACCACAAACCAGGGCACAGAGTCATTTTCCTGCATCAAAACAAGATTCCTTCAGAAAGCCCCTTCCCTAGATGACTGACGTGCTGGGGGTGGGGTAGAGGTTCCTGCTGTCAGAAGGAGGACACCTCATATAAGAAAAGGGTAACCAGAAAACAGTTCAAGCTGTATTTTGCACTGGTATAGCCAATAATCTGTACCTGTGATAGTTCTCAGAATATGCAGAAAAGTCTTTTCTAATGTAATTTTTAACAGTGAAATTGGGATAAGCTGCTACAATTTTGTATCAGAATTTAAACCATAAAAATATACTGCTCTAAGAAACCAAAATGACTATTAGTAAAAGTAAACAACAAATGAGAGTTAAAACAATCTTAATAGGGACAATTAATGTAATTATGCAAATAAAGCATCTGATGTGCTTTTATTATCTTATTGCTTAGTATAATAAAATAGTAAAATAAAAATTATCTTTATGAACAGGAATTTCTTTTGAAATAAAACCATAAAAATAACACTAATAAAACAGCAACAAGGATAGCTGCTAACATTTTCTGAGCACTTACTATGAGCCAGGCACTGTCCTATGGGCTGTTAAATGTCATAAATGATTAATTTCACAACCACACTATAAAATAAAGCAAGCTCTGATTTACACATGAGGCTTTGAGCCACAGAGACCTAACTTAGCCACTACACTGAGTTCCACCAAAAATCAGAGACAGTGAGGCAACGAATGGACATTGATCGGGTTTACTTGCCTGGGTGAAGACTGTTAACTAAGAAGAATGAAAAAAGGTTTCCTTGGCAAAGCATCTTTCGTGCGTGTATACATGTATCAAAGGTGAAAGAAAATACATTCAATTATAACGATCATGACATCAAATTATTTGATTAAGAATCATTAACAACATCCATGCTCTTTTATTCCCTGATTTTTAGACACTAAAATAGTATCTTAATGCATTCCTGAGGAAGTATAAGAGGGTCATGATGGACAGTAACAAGAAAATCCCACAACTGCCTGAAACTCACAAACAGCCCCTGCAGTGGGATGGAAGGGGGATGTCATAGTAGCATTCTGGTTTCTGCCATGTATCATCTCAAGCTGGGTGACTTCCGCATTTGTTAACTTCTTTCCCCTGGGTGGGAAGTGGCTAAGGGGACTCTAAGGCCTGAGACACCTCCCCAGTTCAAGATGTGATGCCTCTTCTGTCCCATTCGGGCTGTGCAAATAGCCCACCTCAGAGGTCACCCCAGTAGTCAGGCCTGCTGCAGGCACTCAGAGGAACAGCTGTGATGAGCGAATGAATCAACATCAGACTGCAGAGGTTGAGGCTACTCAGAAGCTGAGGCTTCCAGCAGTAGCTACTCAAACCAGGCATTCATTCAACTGACAAACAGGCATAGATTTCTACTGTGTGCTGAGTAGACGAAAGGCTAAAAAATATACATATATTCCTAGGCTCAATGCCTAACGTCATAAGGAAAAGGGGCAGCCAGCAGGTTATGGGGCAACTGGCCCAGGAAGCCGTCACATGCAAGGCCTCAAGAAGCTAATCAGTCTGTGAAAACACCTCCTGGACGTCCAAGATCAGTTTTGCATATAAAGATACATGGAGGTTCTCCAACATGCTTGTTACAGTTAAGAACATGTGTTTCTGGAGTAAGAAAATTACGAGGAAAGGAAGAATTGATATAGGCTCAGTATTCCTGATCCAAACTATTTGAGACCAGAAGTGTTTCAGATTTCAGATATATTTTTCTGAATGTGGACTATATGCACATACATGATGAGACATCTAGAAGATGGAACTCAAGGGTAAACATGGTATTCACTGATTTTCTGCATATGCCTTATACTTATAGCCTGAAGGTAATTTTACTCAATATTTTCTGTATTTTTTTGTGCATGAAACAGTTTCATCGTGTGGAATTTTCCACATGGGGGTGACAGTTGGCACAGAAAAGGTTTTGAATTTTGGAACATTCAATTAGGGTGAGGGATGTTCAGCCTGTGTCTTTTTCAGTTTTCTCTACAACAAGCTGCAACCTGAAAAAAATGTACATTACTAGTACTAATGTAGCTAAATAAATTCATATCATATGTAGGTATCTCACCGAGAAAAAAATCTGCCGAAACTGGAAACAGTGTTTCTGTATCATTTCTCTACCATGAACTAGTTGGTGCTTATTAAGTCAGTGCATCGTCCTTAGCTTCACATGTTAAAGCAATTTATCAATACTCTCTGTAGCTGATAAAAACCTGCCTTTATTCTAAGTTATGAAGGATGATCACAAGACCAAATTTGGCTAGATCTGATGTACAATACTAATTCACACCTGGCCCGTTAGGAGAGAGGAAAGATGAAATATTTCTTCAAAACATCCTCGGAGTGGGCACTGCAGCAGATGATACATGTACACCTCGCTTACTCCATGGAGGACCATGTACCCTGTGACTGCATGATCTATGCATTTCTCTTCCATAGAAGAGTGACATTTTCCTCAATGATCCAACACTTAAAGAATGGTGAGAGAGGGGAAAAAAAATAAACTACGATATTTGCTTGTGAAGGCCTTTAAGAGACCCCAAAGCAAGTCTCAAATGTTCAAAAAAAAAAAAAAAAATACAGGGGGAGGGGATTCATGTACAGGCATTGATACGATATTGAGCTTTTACTCTTTGAAGAAGGCATTTCTGACCTTAAAAGGTTAAAAAATAAAAAAGGAGAAAATCCAACAGGACCACAGAGTTGGCACAACACTAAAATTATACTTGCTGCAAAACAATAGAATCAGGCATTTCTGAGTGGTTTGAGGAAGGTGTGGGAGTAATGGTGTAACCCAGGTACACTGTAGGACATAAGCCCGCCTTCTCCAGACACTCATTACTATCTTTAAATTCTTTAAAAAAAACTGTTTTAGGAGAATTTTTGTCATGGCTTATATCAGGAAATGAACTTGAGGGAAGGCATACAAGGGTACATCAATAAATTCATGGAAAACAGAATTAAAGATAAGTTTGAGTACCAAAAAAACTGAAATCTGTGTTTATGAAGGGCCTGCCTTCAAAATGTTCATGAAAATGCATACTATGAAAAAAACTATGCAGAGATTTAAAAAAATTTACAACTAAAATAAACTTATCTTTTAATTCTATTTCTTCCACACACAATGTAAAGTACTTCAGTATATACCTATAAATGATCCACTAAGCTTTTCCCAAATGCTAGAAATCATTTAGGGCAATTCAAAGCTGAATTTAGAAGTAACAGTTTGAAAGTGGGCTACAGTTAAGGACAATTAGACCGAGTGATAAATGGTACATTTGGAAAAATAGATAAAGCAAATCTAACTTGGGGATTATTACTTTAAAAGGGAGACAAATTCTTTCTAGTGGCATGGATTCTCAGCTTCTAGTTCATACTTTTCTCAGTCAGGATTTGAAACAATTGCCTATTTTTGTTCAACCTCAAGAACAACTGAAATCCCAATGAAGTAGTAAGTCCCTACAAACAAGTTACTTTATTAAGCAAAAGCAATGATTTTTAAATATTTTAATCAACTTCTCATCATTTACATGCAAATATGTTTAGGCCCATCTTACCTGAGACCCAGGGAGATAAAGCACTCGCTAGAACTCAGGGAGAGACAAGCATGGAGTCCAGCTAGCTTCTTCTCTCATCCTTTTTGTATGTCAGGTGAAAAAAGAACCATTTAAGTGGTCTAAATGCAGAGCACTGTAAGTTACACAATGCAGCCATGCCCGGATGCCTAGAAAGCAACCCAGAGCATATTTTGGAAAGCATTTGAACTTCATGCCATTTTCAAAGTTTTGTGGTTTTTCTTAAAGCAGGACACATTTTTGATTGGCTACTCCCATTTGAGGATCACAACTTAACTCAGGGTTGGTATGGGATTGCTTAAAATGTTTGGAAAAGCTGTGGCAAATAGTAAGTGCTCGGATAGTGTTAGCTATTACTATCATCACCATCAACATAGTGCAAGCCAATGGAAAAACCCTGGGAAACACAAATAGGTATACGGAAACCAGAAAAAGAAGTCACAGTCACCTCACGCATTTGATTGTGTTGTATAGATTTATGGGTTTCATGAATCCATCTTAAGTACTGACTTTCACTGAGACTTGGTTAAACATAGTTGTTGTTTGAAAAGAAAAGTGGGCAATAAGCATAAAAATGAAAATACTACAAATCAAGAATTGAATTGACCATACACTGACTGTTGTTCAAAATTTATTTTTTGTTGGCTATAGACCATATAAGTAAATGCAAGAAGTGTCAAGAGCCGTATAGAACTAAACTGAAGAAACACCAGGGTTCAAGAAAATGTCTAAAAATAACACCTGACAGTAGAGCTAACAGGCATAGAAAGCATGGTGGTAGATATGACAGGCAATGAACTGTCTCAAGTTCATCTGAAGGAAAAAGGTTTCTTCCCACTGATTGCACAATCACGTGCACTTCTTTTTGTTTGGAGGCAAATGCTTAACCAGCCTAAGACAGTCCGAGTTCTCATCTGATCAATGACAACAGTAAAAAGCAAAGGAGAGACGGTATTTAGACACCTGTGTGAGCAGATTTACCTGCACTCAACCAAGTACCCAGGGATACACACACGCAGGCAACTCATCCCTAGCTAGAGGCCCTACAGGAATGCAGAGTGCGCCACGGCTGGGTCTGCACCAACCTGTTGGAAAGGACGAGTCTGCGCTTGCCTGAGGAGGCGCTGCTGCTGCTGCTGTTGCAGAAGCTTCATCTGTATCAGCTGCTGCTGCGACGTGATGGTGTGCAGGGCAGGCGGCTGCATCATGGCGCCCGAGCGCCGCTGCAGCATGTGGGACAGAGCTTGCTTGGTATTGGATGGGACGAAGGAGCCCGCAGGGTCCAATCTGGAGCCGCCTGCAAAAGCAGCCAAAAGGAAGGGGTTTCTGAGTGTGTGAAAGAACCAAGTCTTCCCTAGTTCATCAAAACACAGCGACTTCACTTTCTATGTCTCACTTTCTGAGCAAAATGGAAAATAACACACTGCCCCACCTGCTCCAAGTGAGAAAGCTCTGTGTAAGAGCCGTGCAATCCCCAAACACTGGGGAGGACGACCCTGGAGTGAATTACACTATTTTCACATGACATCATGGAATCTGCACTTTGGTTGATAAACTAAAATGCCAGGAACAAAGAGAAATTGGCAAAACTTCAGAAGTATGTGGGTTTTAAGTTATGCAAGGCGCTCAGGAACGAATTACTGACATAAAAGGTATTGTCTTTTGCCTTGTATTTTGCCAAGTGTCCTCGGCCAGTCATAGACAGTCTTTTGTAATTTTAAACAAATCTGAAGTTCATATTCTTTTTAAATTTTCTTTAACACGTCAGAATTGAAATGCCTACTTTACCGTAGAGAGGCACGAAAATACTTTAGATTTGAAATGTTCAGAAACTTCAAATACCATGATTCAAAGGATAAAAATCCATCTTTTTTGATGTCTAAAAATCAAATAAACCAGAAATACTGATGATATGGATAATTAAGAACCCAAAGGAAATTCTTAAAATTTCTGCATGTATAATTTCTCAAATGCACTTGAGTTAGAAAAATACATTTTCAACATTCTCTGAATAAGTAGTAAATGCCCATCTCTCATTCACCACAGTCTATACATGAGACAAAACATTAAATATCTCACAGAAGTTTTTTTTTTACACAAATTGTATGTCAGAAGTAAACACTCAAAAACCTGTTAATATCAGCAAAGGGATTTGCAGTCATTCGGCAGCATTTGAGGAACATGTGAAAAAACAATGCGAAGTCAAGTTCATGTGGCAAGGTAACATTCACTGAAGCAAGTACTGGAAATATACGTGAAAAACTAGACTTGTGATGCTAGTGCCGGGGCTCACTGGGCTAATCCTCCGGCTGTGGTGCCAGCACCCCGGGTTCTAGTCCCGGTTGGGGCGCTGGATTCTGTCCCAGTTGCACCTCTTCCAGTCCAGCTCTCTGCTATGGCCAGGGAAGGCAGTGGAGGATGGCCCAAGTGCTTGGGCCCTGCACCCCATGGGAGACCAGGAGGAAGCACCTGGCTCCTGGCTTCTGATCCGCGCAGCGCACCGGCCGCAGCGCACCGGCTATAGCGGCCACTTGGTGGGGTGAACCAACGGAAAAAGGAAGACCTTTCTCTCTGTCTCTCACTGTCTAACTCTGCCTGTCAAAAAACAAAACAAAACAAAACAAAACAAACAAAATAACTAGACTTGTGGGGCCGGCACCGAGGCTCACTTGGTTAATCCTCCAGCTGCGGTGCCTGCATCCCATATGGGCACCGGTTCTAGTCCCGGCTGCTCCTCTTCCAGGCCAGTCCTCTGCTGTGGCCCAGGAGGGCAGTGGATGATGGCCCAAATGCTTGGGCCCTGCACCAATGTGGGAGACCAGGAAGAAGCACCTGCTCCTGGCTTCAGATCAGCAGAGCGAGCCGGCCGTAGCGGCCATTTGGGGAGTGAACCAAGGGAAGGAAGACCTTTCTGTCTCTCTCTCACTGTCTAACTCTATCTGTCAAATAAAAAAAAATTAGACTTGCTTATAGTCTTTTCATTTTTCCTAAGTCTTCTAATAATGTTGTACCTCTGAGCCAGTTAAAGGAAAAAGGTGTTATAAATACATCTGAACTTCTCTGGGTATTTACTTCTACTTCACTGTGTTCCCCTTTGTCTCCTACCAAATGCTATTCTGAATTTAGTATTTATTATCTTTCTGTTTCCTTAAAACTGTCACACTGGCATGTCTATATGGAGGGACGTTAAGATATGGATGTGTGTGGATGTAAGAGAAGATTATTTTGCATTTAAACTGTGTACGAATGAAATCATACTATGGTACTTCAAAAAGTTCATGCAAAATGGAATTAAGTTTACTTTGGTGCAAAAACAATCCTTGAAATCCATTCATAATTTTCCATACAAACTTTTTCCAAAGACCCTCTCATGTGCATGAATTTCAAGAATTTTTTAAATAATTTTTTAAATTTATTTGAGAGGCAGAGTTACAGACAGAAAGAGGGAGAGACAGAGAGAAAGGTCTTCCATCTGCTAGTTCACTCCCCAAATGGTGGCATGGCAACAACCAGAGCTGGGTCAATCAGAAGCCAGTAGCCAAGAAGCTTCCTCCAGGTCTCCCATGTGGGTACGGGGCCCAGGCACTTGGGCCATCCTCCACCATCTTCTCAGGCAACAAGCAGAGAGCTGGATCAGAAGAGGAGCAGCCGGGACAGAAACTGGCACCTATATGGGATGCTGGTGCTGCAAGCAGAGGCTTAGCCTACTATCCTATAGCGCTGGCTTCTCAAGAATTTTTTCATTAGAAAAACTTAAAATTCCATTTTTACACAAGATTTCTGCTATACCCTCATACATATGCAACTTTATACAACTTCATAGGATTCATTTTTAATAAAAACCTATTAAATCATTTGTGTAAAATTCATAAATAATTCTTTTCTTCAAAAACTTTTAACACATCATCTAACATTTAAAGTTCATCCTCTTAGAAACGCTTATTTATAAACCTCTATAGGGAGAGGGTATGAGCTTTTACGACTACTTAGCCTTCAATTCATAGTCCTCATGTTTTACTTCAGTACCTACTAAGTAAAACTAAAATACTCAGATGCATCTTGGAACTACAAAGAGAAAGTCAAAACAGAGAATTACTATAGATTGTTTTCCACATTTATAGGTCTAGTTTGCTCTCTGTAGTCTGCATGCATTCACTCAGTGGTGTATTGCTAAAGCTTACTACAAGCCAGATGACGCTCTACATTCCGGGGATACTGCAGTGAATCTAACAGAGAAAAACACAGAGCTTACAAGTCAGGGGCACCAAGTAACAGCAGAAAGCAAGCAAAACGTAAGCGATTGCTAATTCTGTGGAGAAACAGGAAGAAGGCAACACGGGGTGTAGGGAAGGGGTAGTTTACAGCTTACAACGGTGGTCGACAGAGGCTTTGCTAACAGTGATCCATGATGAAATGCCATGGAGGCGGGCAGTGAGCCGAACAGGTGTCAGACGGAGAGCACTGCAGGCACACACAGCAGCAGGTACAAACACTCTGAGGCAGGAATGTTGTAAGGTCGTTTACTGAATGTGTCTGCTGTGTTAGCCTATCGTCTAGGGTTTATAAATATACACACATGTTCCTTTAAAAATTATTTTCAATAGTTTATAGGCATGTGTTTAAGGACACCTCAAAAAGTTATGCAAAAATAGAACAAGCTAAGTTTACCTGGGTCCTCCAAAATTTGAAATCCATGGAAAAAATTTTTCACAATACACATTTTCCATGACCCTAAGACCCCTCACATGTGTAACATAAATTTTAGAAAATCTTCACTTGAGCTATAAAATCTGCTTGGAGCTTGGCCAAAACAATACTAAAATCAGGAACATATTCTATGTATAAGGCAGGATCTGAATCAAATTTCTGAGCTGCTTAATGTTATAAACAATTTATAATTCACAATAAGGGGCCCGCACCATGGCACAGTGAGCTCAGTGGCCACATGAGATGCAGGCACCCCATGTCGGAGCTCTGCCAAGTTGTGACAGCTCTGCTGCTGCTTTCCCAGGCACATTAGCAGGGAGCTGGATCAGAAGTGAACCAGGTGAAACTTGAACCAGTGCCCATACAGGATGCCAGAGTCAAAGGTGGGCCAACTCCCTGCTAATGTGCCTGGGAAAGCAATGGAGGATGGCCCAAGTGCTTGGGCTCCTGACACCAACGTGGAAGATTGGGTTCCTGGCATCAGCCTGGGCCAGCCCCAGCACTGCAGCCATCTGGGGAGTGAACCAGTGAAAGGAAGATATCTCTCTCTTGCTTGCTCATGCTCCCCTTCAGATAAATAAATAAATCCTTTAAAAAAAAAAGTTCACAATAAAAGAAAGGACACTGTGAAACACTCACTCATGTTTTAAAATCCTTTAAGAAATAAAAAGGCATTTTTCTCCATTCCATTCACTGCGGTATCCCAGCAACCAAAATAGGATTAGGTACAACATGAAGCTCAGTAGATGACCAAACTGAGGCGCAGAGAAATTAACATGTGGTCAAGTTTATACAGCAAGGGAGTGGTAGAGGCTGATTTGAACCTATGACTCTAACTCCCAGACAGGCCTTTTAACCACTGACTCAGCACAAAATATGGATTCTCCTCTGTTATAAGCCAAGAATCAAAACTTTCCTTCCACAGCTCTCAAAAATGTCATACTCAAATAACAATAAAAATCACAACACAGAAAAGGAATAAAATAGATGTGCTGGAATGACAGCCACTCCCTAACACAATGCAGATTGAGATCTCAAATGATTTTAATGTTAATGAATGTGATTTTTCATGTAGAAAGAAAACTTATTCATTTCTATTTCTAATTAAGAGATGTTTTTATTTAGAAAATCTTCACTCGAGCTATCACTCGGTTGCCACTTGGGTTTGAAACAAAGCAATGCTAAAATCAGGAACATATTCTATGGACATGTTGAATAAAAACACGTTTCTGAGTTTGAATTTCAAGTTCACAATATAAGAAAACAAAGGACACTGTGCAACACTAATGTTTTAAAACTCTAACAAGAATTTGACCTGAAACAATTTCAAGTTTCACAACATAATACTTTTGTCACCTTTATATGCTATAAACTAGGGGGCCAGCACTGTATTGCAGAGGGTTAGGCAACTGGCTTCACACTGGCATCCCATATAGGTGCCAGTTAGAGTCCTGACGGTCCCACTTCTGATCCAGCTCCCCATTGATGCATCCGGGAAAGCAGCAGAAGATGGCCCAAGTACTTGAGCCCCTGCCACCAACATGGTAATCTAAATGAACTTCTGGCTTTGGTCTGGCCCAGCCCTGACTGTTGCTGCCATGTGAGGAGTGAACTAGCAGGTGGAAGACCTCTCCCTTTCTGTCACTCTGTCAATAAATAAATCTTTCTATGCTAAAAATTAGATTCTGATCAGTAGCTAATTTCCTTCTAACACTGGGTGAAAATTCCAAAGTCAGTACAGAAACTCATAATTCAAAGTTTACTGTAGAAAAAGGGAAAACCATTTGGAGCAGCGGGATTCACAGAAACGTTAACCAGGCTCGAGTTTGATGGAGGTTTCACGTTAAAGGCAAGGAGAAGCCCAGGCTGTTTCTCATCTTGGAGACGACTCTGCCCTTGACACATACCTGCAGGGAGAGACTGGTTCTGAAGGAAAAAGCCCGGCTGCTGGGGCTGTCCCACGAGGTTGTAGCCCCACAAGGTGGACTGCGGATGGTGCATCATTTGGGAGGAAATGGGTGAGTAATTCGGAGGCACTCGGTATATGTTGCTCTGTGGATACTCCTTCAACATAAAGGTTAAAATAAATATATAAATAAAAGTTTCTTAAGCCAATATGCCACACAGCTGATTACTGCAAATCCATCCCGTTAAGTTATTTAAGATCATCTTCTACCCCTGTGTATAAGGCTGTTTTCATAAAGAGGAATATGGTAGGCAAGAGTCTTAAATGAGTGTTTTTGCAGAGAATAGATTAAGCCCACATTTTTCTATGACTTAAAAAGTACTTGGCTTGCAGTGGGCAGATGGAAAGGGATCTCCACCAGACTTTGGTTCTAAAACTAAAGTCACACTCAGAACGCTGGTATTTAACAAGTCCACAGCTGAAGCAGCATCTTGAATTGCTCTGACCTCTGATCATTTCATCTGAGCAGGCCCTCTTGATGCCTTGGTTTCAGATGATAATTACGTCAGAACGGCCCCGGTGCTGGGGAACCGTTCCTGAGATGGTAGCTGACGGCACCCTAAAGCGGCAGGCTCCCCTTTGGTTCTCTGGGCCTCCCGCTCCCTTACGGCAGGTACAGAGTATCTCAGGGTCGCACCTGAACCTCGCGTCCCCCACAGTCTCTGTTCTCTCGACTAGCCCTAGAGGATGAAAGAGAAATTACATCTTAGCTCCCCACAGTTGCATCAGAGTCTATGTCCTAGTGAGAAGAGGAAGCGTCAGGAGGGGGAACACTCCCAGACTGGCTTGGGTGATGAGATGGCTTTCAAGGCTTTTGCATTGGAAAGCACGGAAGCCCATTCACAGGGACCGAAAGGCTAAGCCAGCCCAGATTTGGGGGTGTGTCAGCCAGGACCCTGCGGATATGCCTCCAGGACACAAATATTGGTAGGGAGACTAAATGAGGAGAAGGCACTGGCATTTAAGGGACACCCAAAATGGATGGATGGATTCATCACCAAGCTATCTGTCAGAAAAGATACGTCTTGGTTTTGAAATAGGTGAACAATAACGATCACTTGTGAATATCTGAACACTGTGTTGTATTTTATTTTTCCCATCATGCAGCAAGAATACCCTTGATTCTTATAGAAAAAGTATTTCAAATTCCCCTAAGGTTTTTTCCAGGTGAATTTATGTGGGAACTCCATTTCTCATGTTCTATAAAATTATTTCTAAATTACCATCTGATAGATTTCTGTTGCCTTCTAGAAAACATGGCTGGTAGGCAACATTAATAGGAAAGCGAGAAGTTTTATTTTTATTTTTATTTGAGGTTTATTTTATCTTCTCTGAAATCTGAATATATGGTAAAGTACAGCATACAAGAGGGAGCAATGGAAGGGTAAAATACAGATACTCGTGAACATCTTATGGCTATGTTAGGTGCAACTCTATCTAGAGAACAGCAGGTGGAGCTTTGCATGAGAATGGAGCACAGATATCACTCCCCCAAGATAAAACAATCATCTCAGACATGCCTAATATGCAAGAGGCTTAAATTTTATGGTTCTCAAAATGCAAGTTTCAAACCTAAGGAAATTAGGAGGCACCAAAACAATTAATGAGATATTATTCACAATGCAAGTCTAAAATTAAACAGTTCTTAAAAGTGCAGGAGGGACAACCAAAAGCTTCACTCCTGTCACCTGTGAAGTGTCTTTGGGTGCCACCCAGGTACATGCTGCAGCACCTGGTTAGGGCAACTGCTCCAGTGAGGCTTGTGCTACACTGAGTAATGTCTTCAGGGACACGATGTGGCCGGGCCCGAGTGGTTCTCATGCCAGGTGCTAAGGGGCCCCCGTTCGCTCCGCCTCCCCTACTTACATCAACTCTTGAGCTGGACTTCGTCTTACGCTTCCTTCCCTTTGTCTTCTTCTCTTCATCCGTTGCGGTTTTTCCCTGATCTGACAGCTCGGCTGATTTTCTCTCTGGTTCCTGAGAAACTGGAGATGTGGGCTCCTCCTCTTCCTCCTCGGGAGGCAGGGGCAGCGGCTCGAGGTAGTAACTTCGGGGCTTGGGCATGGGGTGTGTGTGGTACAAAAGGAGGTGGTGCTGCTCTTCGTACTTGATCACCTTGCGGTCCACTCGGACAGTCCCAAACCAGGCCCAGGACAGGGGAGCTGGGTTCTTCTGACCCTCAAACAAGTCCCACGGGGACACCTTCTGCTTCGTGGAGACCTGGAGACCCTGTGGTAAAATCAAGTTACGTAACAAAACTTTCAGATATTTTCCTGATTCCCAGGCGAGGCTTGCTTAGAGCATGGATTCAGAGAGCATGTGGGTGCCGAGGGCCCTAGGAGAGCTTAGCACATAGCAGACGGGGCTAGGAGCAGTCACTGGAGAGCAGCAGGTGGCCTGTGCACCTTGCCACTCAGTTCTCCGGCTTTGTCACAGAACGCGTTGTTCAGGCAACACACTATAGGTCAGTTTATTTTACCATAAAGTGGCATCTTTTAGTTTCTTATCAGAAAAAAAAATCCAAAGTATACAACAAAACTGATCTTACTATGGTAAATTATAATCAATTCTAAATTATTTCTGGAATCTATTATTTTTCAGATTATACAAAATTGAAGACTCAAGTTCTAGTCAGCCTCTAATTGAATTTATATTGGCTTCAACACAAATCTGTCTGGACTTGATTCAGTATGGATCTTACAGGTACTTAACATGCCAGACTCTCAATTAGGGAGTGTTACCACAGAATCAAATTATAGCAGCAGGCACAAATAAGATTTGCATCTTGAGGTTATCCCTATTGACTCTAGAAGAGGAAATATTACTTTGTTTCTAAAAACAAAAAAGTTTCTTTTTTCAACATGAATTAGTGATATCTTTTGGTACCTTCCCCAACCTACCAACTTGAAAATATTTTTCCTCCAAATGGCCCCCCAAATAACTACCCCACCATTTCCTAAGAAGCAACCTCTCCTTTTCCATTCTTACTCTTTCAAGGATCTGAAACCAAGACTCAGTTACTGCCTGCAAACTGCCTGTTCTCCTCCTGTTTGTCCTGAGATGAGACTAACTTCATGGCTGCCAAGATGGCATGGCCAAGGGCAGTCCAGGTGCCTCACCTCTCGAGAGCCCGCACTCCACATGACCGTGACTGTGACCCTGACTCTAGCTATCTCCTTGTTCCACGAGTGAGTGAGGGTGAGGTCCTCGGGCTTCTCTCAATGGCTGCAGCATTGCACTTCCCTCAAGAGCCACATTCTTTCACAGCTTTACACAAACCCTTCCCTTGGCCTGTAACCACATGTCCCTGCCTGGGTTACTTCAACTCCTTAAAACAATTCAGGAGACAGCTTTACTGAGGATCCTGCTTTGAGAGCCTGCCTCACCCCGAGTTGGATGGCTCTTCCTCATGTTCCCTAATCCTCTCTCTGTACCATGACACCCTAAGCTCGTTACAGCGTCGTGATGTGTCAGCTTCCTCTCGGGGACAGGAGGTCAGCCTTTTATCTCTGTGACTGCAGAATGTCTACGGGTGCCCACGTGGATCAAAATACTGATGACTCTTTCCGCACTTTGGAGAAGCTTCTTTAACACCTTACATTAAAAAGCATCCATGTGGCAGTGTTTGGTTGTTTAAATATGAAACGACACATAATTTTTATTTGGAATAGTTTACTACATGTAGAGTACTTATCGATGAACATTTTTATCTAAACATTCTGTTTTCAATTCTGAAATAAAACCAAAACTGATCTTAGAGAGCTTTCTTTTTAAATTAAGCTTTCATTTTTCCTTTGGTGGATTTCAGAAATTTATTTAAATTCCGGTAAACATTTAAGTGAAGAACAAGATGTGACCCATTTATTACAATGTCAACTGATCACCACACTTAGATGACAAGAATATGTTTCTTTAAAAGATGAAGAAATGGAGCTGGCACTGTGGTGCAGTGTGTTAAAGCCCTGACCTGAAGCGCCGGCATCCCATATGGGTGAAGGTTCTAGTCCCAGCTGCTCCACTTCCTATCCAGCTCTCTGCTATGGCCTGGGAAAGCAGTAGAAAATAGCCCAAGTCCTAGGGGCCTCTGCACCCACATGGGAGACCGGGAAAAACCTCCTGGCTTTGGATCGGCACAGCTCCAGCCATTGCACCCATTTGGGGAGTGAACCAGTGGATGGAAGACCTCTCTGTCTCTACCTCTCTCTGTAACTCTTTCAAATAAATAAAAATAAAATCTTTCTTTAAAAAAAAGGAAATTGCAAAATTGAGATGTCCTATACCCTATAGGAGGGTAAGAAAAATGCATTTGGCTTTTGCAAAGACATACATTTATATATGAGAAAAAAACATTTACTCTTGCCTGTTTTTTATCTATAGAGTCAAATCCAGCAATTTTGTTGCCCTTCGTGTCGATCAAGGAACCCATAGGCTCACAAGTGATGACATCACACGTCTGCTTCGGCAAAGGTAGCAACTGTCGAACTTTGTCAATACTTTCTGACCGCTTGTCTCCTAGCTCTTTCTAAAAAAGAAAGAAAAGTGAGAGTGAGAGAGAGGGAAGATAGAAGAAATGATGAGGCAGGCAAAAGTCACCACGCAGGAAGTCCCCCAATGAGACATTTCCTTTTTAAAGCCAGTGTGTTCCTTAACCCAGAGCACCGTCTATGGAAGAGCTACAAATCAGAGTGGTGGTGAGTTTGTTTCATTTCTTCTATTTGAGTAGAAAATAGAACCCATATAAAGGCAGTCTTGTTACACAACAAACATCACAGTGCTGAAATGACAAAAATACCGGGCAGCACTTGCTGTCAGAAAGCAGGAGCCACGGCACGGAACGCTCTCGTATCCAGGGCCAGCCCACAAGGTAACCTTTGGCTATTTTACTGGTAAGGTCATCAGATTGGTTGATTTTCTTTTTTGCACTGTTTGTTTGTGGTTTATTTCAAGGACCGTGTTAGCACTTAGCTGGATGAATTATATTTACAGATCTCAATGTGCATGCTTGTGTTTCAACCACATGTGCAAAGTCACATGTGGGTGTATCCTAAGTCTACTGACGGCATCTTGGATATATATTTGATATCTGGTTTCTAATGCTTTGTCAACAACAAAACGTGTTTTATTAATATGCTTTTTTGAAAGGAAGAAGAACATAAAATATCTTCAGGATTGCATGCCTGTAACTTGAGAACTAGTAAACTTAAGGTACAGCAGCAAACTAAACACATCAAATTAGGTTGAATGCAACAAATTCACAGGTAGTAAATTAAAATAAAATGTGCCAGGTTACAAGTCCATAAATGACTACAGCTGATGATATACATGTAAATGGATCATAAACTCACCGTCAGTTTCTTTACTAAATTCATATATGCACGCTTGTTCTCTTCAGATCCCCCTGGGGATGCATTTGATAGGTCAGAGGCTAATGTCCCATTGATTAAAACACCCAGCATGTCAAGAACTGTTGTGAATAATTCACTAAGAAGAGGGGAAAGAAAATAACTGTTTTCATCTTAAAGCAAAAAACAAGGTAGACCAAATTAGCTGAGCATTTGTATTCAAGGCACAGGATTTTAAAGTAAACCTAAGTCAGTGAAAGGTGGCAGAATTTGTCACCAGTGTATCAAAGCTTACACCATCCACACGTGCAGCAAAGGAGAAGTGAATGGAGGAAACCTACTTGTTGGTGTGCATGTCAACAGTCCCCGAGGTGATGATCTGCAGGAGGAGGAGGGCCCAGTCCGTGGTCCACTGCGTGCTCCTCTGCACCGTGTCAAACATTCCTCCCACCTGGCACACAAAGCACAGTGAAGGTGGACCTTCTCGAAGAGAGGAAACACCACCTCTATCATGTCAGGGGGCCAAAGCGTGGTGCATGTGAAACAAGGCGCTCTGCGTTGTGGATTATCCTACCTTCTCGCACACCTCGCTGCATTACTCATCACTGGTTTTGGTTCCTTCAGCACAGTTCAGTCGTTTGAAAACTAAATAGTGCCTGAGTGTGAGCATCAACGTAATCAGGCTTCTTGTGTTCCTATCCTTTCATGGTATCCAGTTTCATGATATAACTAGAATGGAATTAAACCTGAATAGTGTCGGACTATGGGATCCAAGCAGCTGCAACTTCGTGTTTTCCAATTACTATTGAATCTAAGCTTGTCGTCAGGATACCATGTAGAAACAGCCACTGACATAGACGTCAGGATGAGCGGAATGCTCAGCCCCCAGGTCTGTCCCTTCATTTGTGGGGATTAGGTGCAAAAACTACTGACAAAGTATCTGCAGAGTGGGGGATGGCCCGGGTGCTTGGGCCCTGCACCCCATGGGAGACCAGGATAGGCACCTGGCTCCTGCCTTCGGATGGGAGGGTGCACCAATGGCAAGGGAGGACCTTTCTCTCTGTCTCTCTCTCTCACTGTCCACTCTGCCTGTTAAAAAAAAAAAAAAAAAAATCCGCAGAGCCATCCTCTAGAATAACCTTCATGTGGTCTGGCCCAATAGGAGAAGACAAACTCAAAGGAATGTGTGGAAGAGCTTAAATTTCTGTAAAATCTCCCTGTGGGATTAGAGCCTATGATCAATTTGATAGAAAATTGGACAACATTTTCAGTTAAAGGACTTTTGAAATCGTTTGGCAATTAGTAGAAGCAAACACTCATCTCGCGGTAGCTGTCTTCTTGAATCAAAGCTTAAAATACCCACCGCTGTCTGGAAGGCGGGCCAGACAGGAAGGAAAGAGCAGTGGAAACAGAAGGCTGTAGGGACAGGGAAGTAGTCGCAGAGGCCGAAGGGGAAGGCCTCACCTTGCTATGCAGACTCTGCCCGCAGAAGCGGAAAGCTGGAGTTACCTGCACATTTAAACCCATGCCATGGCGGGGGAGGGCCCGGAAATACCCCTTACCAGATTTAGGCGCAACTGCAAGGCTTCGTGCATCATCTGCCGTGCCCTTATGTCATCCTGGTATCGTTCTTCTCTCCAGTTACTTAAAATCTAAAATGGAAGGGGGAAAGAGACAGGAAAACAAAAACCCTTTTCTCCCTGTTGACATGGAATTTTTCTCATATTTAAAGTTAAATTGAGCTTTTTACTGTCAGCCAAAAACAACTTCTGAGTTTCAACAAATAGACAAAGCTAAATACACTTTCAATTTTTCCTTTCCTCTTGCATGCAGATAGAAATCTGGCTATCTCTAGTTCATGTGCCTTTCTAGGTGAGAGAAGAAACTGATCTGATTATGCATCCACTACTAAGTCTGGGCAAATACTTGCTAACAGAAACATCTAAAATACATGATTGCATTTGTCTTATGAAGATAAATACTGGCAAGATAGAATTACATTTTACATCAACTGAGTAGCATTTCTAGGGACATGCCATGAATCCTAGCAATGCATTGTTCTGAAGCTTTATCGGAGGGAAGGCCTGCTATAAACGTGCCATCTTCCATAATGGGAGTGTGTACTATTTTGAAAAACTTTGGCATTTTGGACATCAGCCAATTGGTGTGACACTTTATAAAGTGGCTACTTCCTCGGGCAAATGCCGAAGAAGGGAAAGTATGTTTAAAAATGCAAGCTGTAAGTGGGAAACACCCCCGAAACAGATGATGCAGGCAAATAAAACAGAACATCAAAACCCTACCACATTCTGAAATACAGTAGCTGATGAGACTCGCCAGGAAGAGTGGCAATGAGTCACAAGCAGAAGTAACCAGCACAGCCTGCCCCTCCCACCCCCCACCCCACAGCTGACCTGTAACCAGCAAGTACACAGCTAGGGGAGAGTAGGGCACTTCTTCAATCCCACTGAAAGACACAGACCTCTCCCAAGGCTCAAATAAGGGTGCAAAGGAGCTCATGAAAACACAAGCTGTCATGGGGTTTCCATAATATACTCAGACAAATAAAAGTAAGTCAAGCGTAGCAAGCAGTGGGAGGCAGCTAAGGAGAGAGAGAGAATGACAGCAGTCTATTTTCAGAAAGTGAGTGTTGCCTCCCAAAGGAGGTGACATCTAAACAGAGACCCGGATGAAGTGTGGGAGCAGGCCATGCCAATGTCTGGGAGGGAATCCTTTCATGGGCATGGAAGTTAGTATTTACTCAGCATACTCAAGAGACAGTAACACGGCCCATGTGACAAGATCAAGGCCAAAGCAGGCAGGAAACGAGGTGGAAGAGACAGCGAAGGCCAAATCACACAAGGCTGCATAAGCCCAGGCTTGGACTTTTATTAGTAGCATAAAAGGAATGACTGGAACTTTGGGGACACTCAAGTTATATGTGATTTTCGTTTAAAACGGATCACCCTGGAGGCTATGTAGAAAAGAGATCCCTGTATCCCACATCCAAAAGGTGAAAAACGGTAAGAGGACCAAACTGGCCACAGCCATGCAGTAGGATGCAAGGGGAAGCCATGGTGCCACAGAAACACGGGGTGACAACAGGTCATACAGGGCTGGCCGGCACAAGCAGCAGGACGTGGCTTCCTCTGTCTTACAGCCAAACCCACTCCAACACAGACCACTCCAAGCCCTCTCCCATGAGGTGCAGTTAGGAAAGGAGTGGATATTGCATGGTCATCTGCAATACTGCAAAATTTTACTTTCATTGTCTATATACACACATGCATTGGATGCACAACTGATATTCTCAAAGTGTTCCTCTTGGGGTAACAAGAATGTCAGGTAAAACAATAGGGCATGGATTCCGCTTCCTGTCACCTCATCAAAGCGTGCTGTGCCGTGGTTAGTTCCATCTCAGTATTTGAAAGGAAAGCACGTGAATGCCATTAGCAAGACACACACCTGGCTTGATATTATGCTATATTTTACCTGGTTAACTTGGTTCTGGAGGGATGTTAAGAGGCCTTCCCGTTGTTCATCTTGTCCCTTGAGGCAGGTAAGAACCAGTGAGAGGAAAGGCTGCTGGCTCAAAAGTGACATGCTACAAAGGAAGCAGCAAGAGCAGATCTAGTTAGAGAGAATGGATTGCTTCCTGCTGCAATTCTCATTTCGCTCCCGCTGGCTACTCGCTCTACTATTAGATAAATGAAGAGCATGGGAAATCGTCAAAGGGTATCCGAAAAGATAAATCGTACTTCTGCTTACAAGACTGAAAGCCACTGCCACACTTCCAAATAACTTACTACGCTCAAGTGCCCCTGAAGGCATTCCCACACCAGCACAATGGTGGGTACATGGGTGGGTGGCGGAGAGGGGGAGATGATCATGAACTTGCATTTTACATCAGTAACAGAATTTTAAAACACACATCCGAAAGAACATCAATTTATACACAAAATAAAATGGGAAACTGAAATACTTTCCCATGCAAAACACTTATTTTAGAGTCCAGGAGCCAAGCCTATCTGTGTCTCATGCACTTTGCTGAGTTGGTTTGTTTTTCAGCGCCTCTCTCAGGGTCACACAGCGGCACTGTACAGCTAGGATGAGCAGCCAGGCCTGAGGGCTCCACACCTGGTACACCTGCTGGCGACCTCTAGTGTCTGGCTCCACCATAGCCCACAGCTTCCTCTGCTAAAGGGGTTTCAAGGCGTTTGTAAAAATTGTTTTGAATTAATGTTTTTATGAAATGTCTTCAATTAAAGAACCATCACCAAATCACGTTAACAAACAAAGCCTACACCCGAAAGGAAAATTTCTTAAAATAAGAACTAGGCCAATATGTTTCAATCAGCTTCAGCTTACATGGAGAATGGACAGGTGTGGCTCTGGGAACAGCTGTCTTTCATATCCATTGGCCGTCTTGTGGGAAGCGAGGCAATGCACACACAACCAAAATTAGAACTGTGTCTTCTGGCTGGTTAATTAACACTGGCCGAGGGGGTGAAACAGAAAACACACTATGTCTAGAGACAGGCTCAGAAGCCAGACTGCCTGGGTTTAAAGCCCAGCTGTATCTCCTATAATGTGTGTCTTGCAGCAACTAACCTCTCAGTGCCTCTGTTCCTCCACCCTCAAAAGGGCAGAACAGGAGCACCTGCTCCCTGACTGCTGCACGAACCTTACAAGTATACAGAGTTTGTGAGTCTCACATGGGAATGGGCACTTTGTAAGGAGCAGTCAACAAACAGCAGCCACTACAGTATGATTAATTACAGGCCAAGAAATCTGTATGTCTGCAGGGGTATTTTTTTTAATCCAAGAAGTTATTTTTTTTTTCCTAACTCTTGGAGTGCTAAATTCTTACAATTTTCTTGTTATAGTTTCTAGTAACATGGTCAGTTATAAAATGTAATTATGTGAAACCTCTTTTAAGATATAAAATAAATTAAGAAAAGATTAGTTTGATGGCTTAGAGAAAATATTTAGTAGTCCAGAACTAGAGACCTAAATATGAAATGCGTCTGTAACTAATTCCATCTCTAGCACCAGAATTTTAAATAGTTCTGTGTGTCTTAAACATAAATATCTAAACAAAAGCAACTAGAAATAACGTGCAGGGGGAGTGCATCCCACAGCAGAGTGCCCAAGTCGGATTCCCAGTTCCAGCTCATGACTTCAGCTTCCTGCTGCTGCAGACGCCGGGAGGCAGTGGTAATGGCTTCCTGCCACCCTGTTGGAGACCCAGATTGTGTTCCCAGTCCTAGGCCCTAGGGCATTTAGGGAGTGAATCAGCAGATAGGAGCTCTCTGTCTTCCTTCTCTGTCTCACTCTCAAGTAAATGAATAAAACTTAAAACAAAAATACAGGGAGGACTCCTACCAGATATGATTAAACTGGCCTAAGTAGAGCTCAGAATGGTTAACACAAGGGTCAGGATGCCTGTGTTCCACATCAGACTGCCTCTTTCAAGCTGCAACTCTGGCTACTGATTCCAGCTTCCCACTAATGCACACCCTGAGGGGCAGTAATAATGGCTACAGCAGCTGGATTCCTGCCACCCATTGGAGAGACCTTCCTAGCTGCCACGTTTGGTACAGCCCAGCACTAGCCATTGTGGGCATTTGGGGAATGATCCAGCATTTGGGAGTGTTCTCTCTCTCTCTCTCCTTCTCTGCCTCTCAAATGAATTTTGAAGTCAGTATTTTATCAGGTCAAAAGGGATTTGGATACATAGGCAGGTTTGACAACTAGTGCACTAAATAATAAATCCTGGAACATTTCAGGAACACAGCCTCGCCTCCCAGATTATTTTCAAGTTCATGTGAAGACTGAAGTTCAGTGGACTCTGGGTCCTTGCAGGAGGCCAGACACCCTCAGTTGTTCTTTGTGGTCTCACACCCAGCGACGCAGCGCCCAACATACCTTTTCTGTTTTTGTCTGTCTCTCTCCTTTTTTGAAGAAGAGCCCAAGTGCTGCCCTTTCTCCAGCTCTTCCCCAGCAGCTTTCAACACTCTTCCCTGCACAGAGGTCGGCAGCCTGGCAATGAGGGGAGCCACCAGCCACACACCCCTGCGTTCAGAGGAGCTAAAATCAGAGACAGGTGTTATCCCGGAGGCAGCATCCTTTTCCTTGTTCGTACAGTTTTAACAAACAGCAAAGCAAGACTCTGATGCAAATGACACAGCCTACTCCAAAGCTTCCATTTTATTTCTGTACCGCCTTTCCTCTTGACAAAGGCAAGATATTTGCATATACTTCCACCCCTGCTCATGAAGGGCAATAAAAGGTGCAGTTCTGAGAGGATACGGCGAACTAACCTGTGCTTTCACACTTTTCTATGGTTCTGGCTCTCCGACCAGGAACAACCCTTCCGTTCAACAAACAATACGCTTTTCTTCATGGTTACAAGATGAAATGCTATCATGCACGAGCACACCAATAACCACTGTTTAAAGTTTCAAAGTTCAATAGGTATATTTTATACCAAAATGATGAAACACAAAACAAGCTGCCTTTCTGTGATTAAAGGGCTTCATTAAGATTTCTTATGCCTATTCATTCTAATTCTGAACACAAATTACTATGGTATGTTCACACAAAACTGCCAATTAATTAGGGTGGTCGGAAAAGTGTTTCCTGCCTAATGAATACCATGGAGTACAGTGGCCCAAGGGACAGTGAAGACATGAATAAATCCTGAGTTCATCCATGGTTCCAAAGTGTCTGGGCCTATGTAATCAAACATATTGAAAGCTAAGATACTATTCACCTACATTTACTCTTTAATTTATATATACAAGTAATTATTTTCCCGTGGGCTCATGAAAAAAATAACTGCATTATGCAAACTAAACCTAAATGTTGCATGTGAAAAATTTAAGATAGCCCAATAAAAACTACAGAAACTAATACCTTAGAAACGTCTTGATTCCATTCTGTCTGGTGCTACTTGCATCAGCACTTCCGATGCTGTTTGGGTTGAAGAGGCTCAAGCCCGAATTAGACGCGCTGTTATTCAGGTCGGCAGACTGCTGGAACACCTCTATCGTGGCCTTTGCAATGTTGTCCAGGAGATTGTTCATCTCAGCCACAGAACCGGAGCCCTGCAGCGAGGCATAAGAACGCTAGCATGCACACAGATTCCTTCATGGGCAAACATCAATGCAGGTGCTCTTTATAAAATGCCTTATCCATTCACACTTTCAACATGTACTCACAGGGTCCTTCAAGCACTGTTTGATCATTAACTGAAGTTCTAGCCAAGACTGTCTCAGTGTCCACTGCTCAAGATTCTGGAGAAAAAGGAAAGGATTAAAATATTAAGAATAGTGAACACGAATTAACACACAGTAATTCCTTGCAGTCGAGACTCTCAAAAAAAGAGAAAATAATGCGCAATATAGGCATTTATGTGGATCAAAAGCTTCCTTTCAATCTTGGCATATATTCAATGTAGACACAAAGACATGAATAAAAACATTAAAATATCTGACTCAACACGACACTGGAGATAAAGACGACAGCATTTCTTCTCTCAAAGTCTGTCTAACCAACCATACCCCAAAATGTTTGTAAAGATTTACTTTTGTATTTACTGGAAAGACCATCAACAGAGAGGGAAAGACAGAGAGAGAGAGAAAGACTGACAGAGAAGGAGAGGAAGAGAGAGGAAGAGAGAGGAAGGGAGGAAAGGAGAGAAAGCTTCCATCTGGATCACTCTCCAAATCCCCAAATGGCTACCACAGCTGTAGCTGCAGGAGGCCAAAGCCAGGAGCCCAGAACCACACCCTGGTCTCTCACACGGGTGGCAGGGACTGAAGTACTTGGGCCACTGCTGCCTGCCCAGATGTATTAGCAGGAGCTGAATCAGAAGCAGAGCAGCCAGGACTCAAACTTACACTCCAAAAAGGGAAGCCAGTATGGCAAAATACACTGTGCCACAATGCCAGCCCCCAAAAAGTTCTCAACATGTCTTGGATAACATATTTAAGACGGTCTCTCCACAAAGCCTATTTATCATGTAAATGCACTATTGGCTTAAAATACCAATATTTATCCAATGATTCTGCACAATTTACAGCATCTGTTTACTCAGCAAAAAAGTAGGCCAATTGCATAGAAAAGAAAATGGAGAAAACAAAATATGGAATATGTCAAAGTCAGGAATTGGGTAACAGTGATGGAGAGAGAGAGAGTAAGGAAAGGAGGGAAGGAGGTAGGGAGGGAGGGGGGAGAGAGGGAGGGAGATGGGGGATTTCTTCACATAACCACAAAGAATGTGTCAAATGACAGCAGCAGCACAGCCCCTGGAAGACACCACCAACCTGAAGAATGCGCTTAATGTGCTGTCTTTGAAGGTTGTCCCCTTCAGTACACTCTTTAATTCCATGGGGATAACAGATAAGCTGCAGTAATTTCTGTGCTTGCATATTGGAAAGCACGGGGTCCAATATAAGTTCTTTGTCTGTACACAATCTTTCAGGTTCTTTTAGGCAATGTTCTCCTACCCATTCCTAAAAAGAACAATGACATGGGCTTTTGGCATGGGTATATGATATATACTAAATTCACAGTACACAGGGAACATAAGGCCAACAAGACACTTTCAATTAAAAATGACATGGAAAATGGGTGGGAATAGTCCCCCCTCCTCCAAAAAAAAAACATTTATAACACTTTTACTTCTTAAAAATACAAAGTAGAACCTTGGTTAAAGAAAAAAAAAATAGTAAAACAATTATTCAAAAAGGAAAAAAAAAAAAAACACTGATATCTGTTTTAAACTGCAAAATGCTCCTTTCTCCAGGTCCTATTTTTGTGATCAATTTTCAACTTGTTGTATAGTGGTATACGCTATATCATAAATGCTCCTTATGGAATGCATATACTAAATTCCACCAAATAGAAAGAACATAGTATAAAGATATTAAGAAAATTATCTTCCTTTGGATGCTACTATGAATATTACTCTTACAGTCAAATATTTGTGAACATCTCTTTTCTATAGGTTAATTTTTTAGGATAATCTCACAGAAGTACAATTGCTAGGTCAAAGAGTATGCCAAAAATTCAAGGCTACTAATTCATGCAGATAATTGCCCTCTAGAGAGTTTCTACCAATTTAGTCTTAGCACCTTATCTTCACCAATTTTTCAAAGCAAATTCTTACATGAAATGGGGTAAGAAATCACCAACAATAATATAGCTCTATTGGAAACAACATCTATTTGGGATGAAGCCTGTTTCATAACTAATGTACCAGTGACTCAATATTGGTTACAGATTAAAACCACCAGGGAAGTTCATAAAACTCATGCCCAGGTCCCACATCAGACCAACTAAGTCAAATTCAAGTGGGTAGCCAGACACCAGGGTTATTTTAAGCATCAAAAAAAAAAAAAATTTAAATTCTCCAGGGATTCCAATGTGCACTCACATATAGGAACCAATATACAACTGCCTCTCAATACCTATATAACTATTCAATTAACTTTTATCGTGGGTAAGATCTACAAGTACAGAAGAAACGTAAGTTAAATTATTTTTGTTTTAATGGAAGAAATTTAAAAAAACGCACACACAAAAGAATAAATCAGAAAAAAAAATTGGTTAACTGGGGCAAGAAGGGGCAGAGAATGGAAGAGTGGAAGGGATGTGGGGAGAAGGACCACCTCCAAGTATACCATTTTTGTGTATATGGACATTTGGAAGTACACTATTCTATATACAAAACTAGGAGGAAAAATGAATTTAAACTGAGTGCAAACACAAACAAATAAATGGAAGCCTATTTCAAATAAGAAACACATTTGCATTGAGGGAGAAAGCTCAAATAACTTTTAGACACAATACTTTAAACCCTTAGGGAAAAAGAAACCGTAGACAAATGATCAATTCATCCTACTGGGTTTCTTTTTCCCAGGGGTATACATGTAATAACTCTGGAAACATGCCAGGTGTATTGTAGAGTTGCTAAAATGAGAAAATAAGTCGCTATTACTAGGAACTAGGGTGTGCGTGTGTGTGTGTGTGTGAGTGTGTGAGTGTGTGTGAGTGTGTGAGAGTGTGTGTGTGTGTGTGTGTGTGTGGAACAAGGTGATATGAACATGAAATGAGGTAAAGTAAGGAAGAGGTTAATGAGGCTGGATTAAAGTTGGAAGTATCAGTATGAATTCAACAGTACATACACAGACACACACACACACACATATACACACACAGAGAGATGCAGGTTTTTTTCCTAGCATGATCTGCTGAAAGGGCCTGGAAGCAATGATACCCCCACAGCAATGAAACATATTGTACACAGATCTTCATTTCAAAGTGCCACTCTCCATTATGTTAGAACTAATGCTCCACGGTAGAATGGGTGATTACAAGGGAGATACAAGATGGGTCAAGAAATGAGAACATAATTTTAAAAAGATGGGAATATGTCACATGACACAAGACCCAGAATATAAGGATTTTCACTGCACAAGTCCAGGACAATCTGAACATGGAAACAACTAAGAACATTTCATCATAACCCACATACATGAATGACAAAGAGGGGGCTTGGGGTAGCCTCCTCTTAGAGTAGAATGCAAATTGATATTGTGGAAGACAGGAGCTGGAAAAAAAAAAAAACACCACTTTGCAGCCATGACAACATAGACTAACTTGGGCAAGAATCAAAATGGATGCTTATGGGAGATGGGAGAGTTTCATGAGTAGAAAAATTGCATCATGTCAAAGGGTCTCTCCAAAGACTGCTTATAAATTACAAGAGCAAAATTGTAACTATCCAAGAGAGAAATCTTTAAAACTACACAATAGTGAGACCTTGATCAAAATTAACATCAAATAAATGTATGTTTTCATGTATGATTATCTGAAAAATCTAATATTACTTCTGTAGTGTCTTGCCGAGGAATGCATCCTATAATGGTAAATCTACAGGAAATCTCAGATAAATCCAACAAGACTGGGGTAACTGACAAAACTGGAATGTAACCTATACATGAGAAAAAGCTGCTGCACCAACGCTAAATTGTCTTTTATTAACTAGTTGGTTATTTCACAAAATAAAGTCTGGTATGTTCAAAAGTAAAGATGAATAAAGTACACTATCCACTTTCAAATGATTCAGGAAAAAAAAATGGTGCATACACCCATATTGGCGCACACAAACAGAAAATCACATGGTAAAATGTAAAAAACAAAAATTATGACTTTGTTTCAAGGTTATCTTGGAGTTCTTTATTACTTTTGCAACTTTTCAGAAAAGTTGAAATAATTTCAAAATAAAGTCAGCAAGAGAAAAGAAAGGATCACCTCTGTACAAGTTTCCTGCAATAGTGAGAAGCTCTCTCTGAAAGCATACATACCCAAATTAAAAAGCAAATTAAATTGGAAAAATACCTGTTGACAGATAGTCCTCAGTACATATCTAGCATATTCTCTTAAATTGGCAGTTTCTATAGAAATGCTTTTCCCGCAGGCTTTTGAATTCTGTGAGGCAGTCCAGATATCATCAGCATTGCCGTCACGACGTAAACCCCTCATGGTGAAGTCCTCGTTCTTTAAAGAGCTGACATTGTTACTGCCAATTTTGGCATCTCCTAAATAACAGAATCACAAAAGCAAAATCACAGAAGCTCAAAATACTGCCAAATATTTGGAAGCAAATGAGGCTAGCTTTCAGGGGAATTAAAGTGTGTGAACTATGCACGGTATCATCATTGCATAGTCAACGCGTTCAACAATAGAGAGAATGGATCAACAGAATCAATGCAAGAACCCAGAGAAGTTTCCATCACACATAAGACAAAAAGCAAGTTCAAGGCTCATTCCTTATTGTTTCACAGAATTAAATATACTTTCACCACATTTGGAAAGGCCACTATGAATCACACTTAGGAATCACAGAACATGGATTTCACCAATATTTCAAGCATGAATGTATTCAAATTCATTTGACTTATAGACAAGGAAAAAATCGGTTACTCACCCTTCTAGATGTCCCTTTTCCATTTCTTCTCTTACAATGACTTATTTTCTATCCATAGGTCAAGAGAAAAGTTTTGCCTTAGCCCACCTTACTATCAACTTCTTGACAAGAGAGATTTATTTCCCTGGGGATGGAAAAGGGCAATGCATACTAAGGAAGCCCCGAAACGCAGGGCATTCATTGAATGACCCATGTCTTCCACCTTCCTCTCTGTACCATCCAAATCAGAAAACGTTACCTGGCCAATCTCTAGTATACTCAGTGACATGAAGCTAAGGAAATTCTGCTCCTCATAACAAAATTTTGGGGGTTGGGGAGAGAGAGGGGGGACTGAGCAGAATATGTTGGAGTAGCTGCAATAAGAAATCCTCTCTAACCAAGTCCTATTTTAAAAATAAGAAGGAGTAATCTAATCTGGTAATAATAAAGCCTTCAGATTTCTCCCTGTTTACTCGCAGGATTATAATAAGCCTTGATTCAAAAATTTGCTGTAACCAGGAAGTGAGCTGAGGTGAGACTGAACCTGCCAGTGGTGTGAGTCAAACCAAGCCCAGGTCAGTGCCAAAAGCCTTTAAAAACCCACAGGGTCAACCAAGAAATAAGTTTTGAAATATCAGAATGGCTTAATGAATACTTACTATAAAATCTTATGAGGAAGGGAAGAATGTGACATTTCAGCTCATCAATATATATAACACATATGGCAAATACAAAAAGTACCAACCTCCCATCACCCACAGGAATTTATTTAATTCAATAGGGCTCTTCATGGAAAGAAAGGTAGAAGGAAGAAGGGTGGGAAGGATGGAGGAAGGGAATATCATCACGCTCTTAGAATTATTGTATAAATCATATTCAAGCTTAAAAATTAATTAAAATTTAACTTTAAAAAAATTGAGCTCTTTAGGAGCTGAAGGAACAAAATCTAAAGAATCAAAATTTAGGATGCATTCTACATCCTCAGGTGTTACTCTAACAAGTAACACTAACATATAAATTAGAAACCAAATTCAATATAACATACGCATCTTCCTAATTCATAATACTAAGGTATTTTAACAAGTTTGTACAAAAAGGGAATTAAAGACATGTTTAATTTATACTCCAAAACTTGAAATCCATGTATAGTTTTTTCATCATAAATATTTCCCATCAACTTTCTGAAGATCCCTCATTATGCATGGATTTCAAATATTTTCTGCACAAAGATAAATCCATCCTTTAATTCCATTTCCATGAACCATGTGAATTCCCTCACTTTTCCTGGTAAACAGGAATGGAAAGGCCACTGAATAGGACTCATTGAAGTCAAAAAAACCTCTCTCAAAAAATAAAAGCAAAGAAATAAACACCTCTGCCAGTTCCTACTCAAATCCCTTCATTTAGTTTAGGTGTTGGAAGGACAGAGAGTCTGTGCCCAAGCCCTCTGCAGTTGTATGGACAGAGAACAAACTGAGTGTTCGGTGCCCACCTGGTCCAAGGCTCTGCTGACATTTAATTAACCTGATCCCCACCTGCAGACCTGGAGGATGCTCCACATTACTCAGATACTTAAAGAGGAGAGTAGATCTTAAACGGATTCAGACTAGGCCAACAACTCAAAGGGCCAGTGTCTACAGACTCCATTCCTTGTTTTCTGCCATGAAACTCTGTCACTTACGTACTCACTTCCAATATTAGTGTATTGAAAAGCTATTATTTGCTCATCTCTCCGATGAGCACTAGAAATATTGCAGGAAAAAAAAAGCTAGTCACTGACTACATAAAATTATTGAATGCAACTGATCAGCCATGTTTTCCTTTGATCATCATCAGAATTTCATTTGCTGACTGTGGAGTACTACAGGCCCCCAACATGGCTCTAACATTCCCTTAGCATAAAGCTTTATGGGCATGTCAACAGAAAGCACACACATACAAGATTTGTGTATTTTTAAGTGAACATTTTATACTTTGTTTTATAAAAACGCTGTTGTCCTACCCTGTCATCACCAAGTAGCAGGACAGGGCTATAATTTCCAAAGATGCTCTTTAAGATTCATCTAAGGCAATTCCTACACACTTGGGTAATTTCTGCTCTAATCACAAGGAGCTCCATATAGTAAGTATTATTTAGTAGAGGTCAAAAGAAGGTACTCAAAGCTGGAATTAGGTAGCCTGAAACCCAGACTTCCAGATCATTCAAGTTCTTCTGATTTACAGAACAAAAATGTTTTAAGGTATTAACACTGGAAATGGTCACAAAAGGCAGTACTTCTGAAGAATGTATACAATTAGGATGTAAAGAACATCTTGGACATTACAGCTTAAATGAAAATGTTGTTGTGACAGTTAACGTTGACTTATCAATAATACAAATATCACTGTGACTTTCACCTGGTTCATGAACAAAACAAAGGCAGAAGGACCCAAACTAGTTCAGAATCGTAAAAGCAGAAACTTCACGATTAAAACCCAGGTGTTGTGATGTTCTCTACCTGGGTAACCCGTCTGCAATTTAAATATTAAGTCAAATCACCAAGTCATCCCTGACCCTCACCAAGAGTGATTTCTGCCGAACACTGAAGGCCAATCAACTCTGTGGGCTTGAGGATCTATCAGACATCGTTCAGTGAGGACACCATGAAAGTATCACACATAAATTCTCAGTGTCCCCGGGGCTGAGGGACAGAATCCTCAGCGAGCCCAGCTGTACTTAGACTTGGGGAATGCCAATGAATTCTTTCCAGGAGAACAAACAGAAATCATGATGGCAATAATAATGATTAGCTTTAAGCCTGAAAACAAATTGTTCTGCCTCTGTTTCTGGTGATTAACCAGGAAGCTTCGGGCTAGGGTAGTCTTACCAAGCATCATAATTGCTTTTAAGACAGCAAACACGGCTCCCACTTCGATGCTGTTGTGAGCAGCGGCTAAGAGGTGTCTATCACAAGATGATCTTATTCCGGGGAAAGGTTTGCCTGTGAAAACAACAACAAACAATTAATGGTCTCATCACCATCATTAACCATCTTTTGTAATCATTTACAGTCAGTGGGGCCTTTCACTGTTAGACTGTGGGCGCTTAATTGCCATTAGCTTGCTATAATTGATGCTTATGGATTCACTAAGAATCACTGCCAGGATTCCTTACTTAACTTTTTCTTTTAAATTACTCAACTATTGCCTTTGATCCTTAGAGAGACATTTCAAAAAGACTAGCAAGACTTCCATACACTTGTGTTACTGTCACACAGGCACACAGACATCTATCTAGAAATGATCTTTTGAAACGAGTTTACTAACACCCCGAGAACTCTGAGCTTATGACTTTAGCCTTAGGAAAAGAATAAATGAGTCACCAGTGCCCTAAGCTGTTACGGTGTGGTTTACAATCAACATACATGGAATACTAGAGGATCGCACAGCCCACCAGCAAAGCTCAGCCCAAGAGCAGAGGCATTGCATTGTTTATTAACTCTTACTGTGTATTTCTCAACACATCCGGATATCACACAAATGAAAGGTGCTGAAAACCCTCTCACTGGCATCATCTCATCCCCCACCAACCCCTAGTTCAAGCCCCCGGAAGGCAGGAAGGAAATTACGGAACAGTCATCCCACTCAGTCATTATGGAACTTGGGTTCCAAGCGCACATGTCATTGGTGACGCCCCCTCTGTCCGCTCACCCGCTGATTGAGGGAAGAAGTAGGCTTGGGGAGCTCGGAAGAGGTGGAGCAGCAGTCGGCAGGTCATCCTCGCCCCAGGCTCTGCGTCCGCATCTCCACAGGCTAGGACAGGGGATTGCAAGGCAAGTTTTCCAACATATTCAGGACCAAGTCCTTCAAAGTTCTCTATGGAGCAACATTTTCTCAGTATCTCAAATAACTTCTCTTTATGGTAATAAAGAACAGGCTGCCCTCTGAGAATCCTGAGTGCCCCCTTAAAGCAGGTCACGAAAAAAGGCAGTTTCCAGGCTTTCCCATAGAGATCCATGGTACAGTGTTACTCATCTAGAATGACCATTACAATTCTACCATCTCTACTGGGATGTCTCTCCACCTCTCAACGAGCATGCCCTCAACTTTAATAGTCAGAAACTGGAGTCAGTGCTATGGCATAGAAGGTAAAGTTGCTGCCACCACGTGCAACGCCCATATCCCATGTGGGCACCAGCAGCCCCAGCTGCTCTACTTCCCATCCAGCTCCCTGCTAATGCCTGCTGCCACCCATGTGGGAGATCTAGATAAAGGTCTTGGCTCCAGCCTGGCCCAGCCCTGGCCATTGTGGCCATTTGGGAATTACACCACTAGATGGAAGATCTCTCTCTCTCTCTGTGTCTCTGTCTCTGTCTCTTCCTATCTCTAACTCTGGCTTTCAAATAAAAATCAAAAAGAAAAAACAAAAAACTTGACAAAAAGTTAGAAACCACTCCACCAAGACAACAGACAAATAACAGGTGCCTCACCTGCTGCTAGGAGAGAGGGAAGTGCAACGTGCTGCACGACGTCCTCCAGGGAAAAACACTGTCGTGCTATCAGAATAGCAATGAAAGTAGCTAATGAATCATGGAATGAAAGGTCACTCACCTTCAAGAAAAACATTGACAGGTTTTAATACCTCACATCCGTGTAAGTAGTATCTAAGATTAATATCTATGAGAATATAGGCAATACCAACAAGATCTCTAATCCCAATATCAACCAATAGAGAGGGGGTGGTAATTTATCGGGATTGTTCTCTTGTCAGCCAATTTTTTACTTGATAAGACAAAGGAAGAGGCTTACCTGCATGGGAATGCTATAAAAATACACTGAGCCTTAACCTGCATGCATGCAACTGAAAATCCAAACAAAGCTAAATCCAGAAATCACTAAAAGATGGAGCAGCCTGAACATATCCGCAGATGCAAATGACATGTCAATAAATGGTTAAGACCATTAGGAAACAGGAAGAGAAGACGACTCGCCCTAGTGGAGAAACAAGCCTCACTAATGTGCTGCAGTTTCAGGGATAACCAACAGGGCTCCCTTAATGTAATCAAAATAGTTTTAAAAGGAACTCTGGAAGTTGCAGATTTAAAAAGAAGGAGACAAAAAGAGAGAATTAAAAAGAATTTAAAAAGAAAGGAGAATTAATCTCTATTATATAGATTTTACATGGCTTTTTGGAGAGAAAAGAATAAGAAAGCAACTGTACTAACAGCCTTCATATGGACTCACACTGTATGCCTGGGACTGTGCTTCGTAATTTACAAAAATATCTCATTTAGTAACAGACACTGTGAGCTTCACACAGTTACTAATTCCTTTTTCACAGATGAGAGACTGAAGCAGAAGGCAAAGTGTAACAAAGAAAGAAAGAAAGAAAGAGAGAGAGAAAGAGAGAGAGGGAGGGAGGGAGAGAGGGAGGGAGAGAGGGAGGGAGAGAGGGAGGGAGGGAGGGAGGGAGGGAGGGAGGGAGGGAGGGAAGGAAGGAAGGAAGGAAGGAAGGAAGGAAGGAAGGAAGGAAGGAAGGAAGGAAGGAAGGAAGGAAGGAAGGAAGGAAGCAGAAAGTCCTGGAAACATGCTAACGGGAAAAACTCATGTTTCTTTCATTCACAGACTGCAGCTGTGAATTTTAAATATCTAAAATATTCGCAGGTATCTGCACAATGGAAGCATGGAGGCAGGGCTGTCCACTGATTCCTGAGACCAGGGAGTCAATCTTCAACCAAGAGGCGGTTTTAAAACTGTATAAAGTTCTTTTGTACGTAAGATATGATGACAGGTGACACTCGGAGAAATAATAGGCAGAAATAGCAAAGAATCAATGCTGATGTCTAAGAAATGCACACATCACAGATGCAGCATGATTCCAGGAAACATGTAGCATACACAGGGGCATCTCATCATCATTTTCTAGACACAGACACTAAGAAAGATTGGACAGAAATCCTGTACGTTTAGGACTGGTTATTCTTACACAGCACAAAGAAATTTAGACAGCTGTTTTAGTTTCACCATGTCTCATGCCACGAGGAGACTCAGGCTCCTGGTAAAAATTGAAAACCAGCAGCTCTGAAGAGACCACACATACATAAAATATTTAAAGAAACATGGAAATTCTTAGCACCTCTGCTACAGATTAAGCTATTCATTTTATTTATTTCAAATTTTTTTCCAAGTATTTAATCCTTGGCAACTATACTGTTTTTTATTACTTCCAGAGAGAAAGAGGGAAAAAAATGTTCTATAATATTTCTGTTGAGTCAATTCAAAACACATTGCCCATGACTAAATGTCAAGTTGCACAGATGAGGTTTAAAGGAAAAAGCAAACTTACATCGACAGTGCAAAGTACATCATTAAATCCCCACACGTGATTTGATGAGCAACAAAGAGCCTTCAGGACTCCTAGCCACTCCGAGCTAAGGACAGTGCAGCATGCTGTCAGCTCCGAGGAGAAATTGGCTATGTCGTTGATCCTAGGAAAGAAACAGAAAACAGCAGAAGGTAACTTGTATAAAAGAAAATACTCATATGTGATATAAATAATGAACACATCTCAATTATCATTTTTCTAGATTTTGAGGATATAATAAATGCCTACATGTCAAACAACTTAGTAGAACCTGGAGCAGAAAAAAAATAAGTGTTTTTCAACTATCAATGTTATTAAGCAAAGAAATAATAATCAGCACTAATATGAATTAGAATATGTTTAGTTCTAAAAACAAATCTCATCTACCGATTTACATTTTCAAGGGCATCAAAAAAAATAAACCACTATGTAGTTTAGGTAGGACCACATATATAATTAAAAAAAAAAATCTGGGTATCTTTTATTTTGTATTTTTACTATCTTAGAAAATGGATCATATAATTGATAGACAATGTCTAAAACATGTCATACCATAGTAACAAGCCAAAGCCAGAAAGTACTATCTCTTGGACACAGCAAATTATATGGTGGAACAGAATAAAGGGAAACTTTTAAAAAGTCAATGATAGCCAAATGTCAGTCCAGACAATTACTAAAGATTTAAGTTCAAAGGGAACAATGCTTTGGTTAGTCATGAATTTCACGTTAACCCATCTCACCTTCCAGCATCCTGATGGCCCATACATACATTCATGAGAGTATTGCAGACAAAGCTGTAGCGATTGGCCGCATTGTCACTAAGGATCTTGCCCAGCATTGAGTAGTTGATGCTACGAGCCGAGGGATTCTCAATAAAATCCATCATGAAGTCCGGGTCCCATCGCAAGTTAGAATTTGCAGGCATCACATTATTATAAATGGTTTGCTTTACTTTTGAACAGGCACTACTGAGGTTATAAGAAGAAGAATTAGAAAAGAAAAGAAAACTGGAATAAATACAGTTATTCACTTAAGACATATAAAATGACAACTGCAATGCATTCCTAGAGAAAATTCCCAGTAGAAGCTCTTGATTTGAACTTCATAATTGGATTGACACTGAGTCTAGTGCCTAGAATGTAGAAATTGCTCAATAAATAGTTGCCAAAAGAGGTACAGAACAAAACAAGCATAAGAAATTTGGATACTAATTTGAATGATTTTTAACTTTTTCTACATTTTACATGCTCTAAAAATCAAAGAATTCAACAAAGGCTTCCAACAACTGTCTTTTACAAGTGCATGGAAATGTTATTACTTAAGAATAAAAATGGATTCAGTTGCACTTTGGGAAAATAATTGGCATTAGAAACTAATTACACATTCTGTAAAACTGTTTCTCAAGGTACCATATACCTGGTCAAAGTTCATATGCCCAAGCCACTGGTAGCATTGTGGTAGGGCTACAAAGAAAGAGGGGTACATTCCAGGGAGAGCAGGAGGATACGGATAGCACACAGAGTCTGCAGGAGTGAAGAAACTCCTGTATCATTCCTAAAAATTTATCATGTTGTGTTTCTCAGCAGCAGAGAGCTTGGCCTATCATGTGAAAAGACAATCCATGTTTCAGTGAGTTACATCTGAACCACGTATGGAAAGTTATAACAGGAATTAGAAGGTATCTCCTTCAATCCCACTCTATAGATGAGACTGAGGCTGATGAAATCTCAAAGCTCAGCATCAATCCGAGAGATGATCTGAAGGAGGAGGGAGAAGCTGCATTTTAGTAGACACTGGAGAGAAGAAGCTCTATTATCTTAAGTCTCTAGGCAGTGACAGCAGTTCAGGGTGGCATGCCTGTATGCTTTTTCATTTTCAAGGCAGGTATTCTATACCTGTTTCAAATATAACTCACTGAAATATGAACTTCTTTTTCATATGATAGAGCCAGCTCTTAAAGATACAAATTCCTGGGGCCACTGCAGGTGGACTGAACCTGTATGTTTCACAAGCTCGCCCAGATAACCTAGTGCCAAATAATGCTTGGGAAGCATGACTGGTGGAGAAGACTAATGCCACTCACTAAATGGCAGTAGTCACAATCTTCTAGACTACCAATCTTTCTTCCCAGAAAACTTAGGCAAAGAAAAAGTGCCAGTAACCTCTGAAGAATACAGGTGTGTAATATGGAGTTACGACTTATTCAAAATGATGGACATTGAATTGTCCCTGTGCTTTTAAATACCTCTTCTGCTGGCTTACTTTCACCACACTTTCTATTCAACTTTTTTCTTACAACTATCATAGCAATAGTCCTTACTGCTTACCTTTCTGACTAAAAGTGAAGCAAAGCACACTCTGCCCTAATACCACACATTCCTGGTTTCCTCTACTTTCCCAATGTCCTTGAATTTTCAAATGAGTAGATTTCTGCAAACTATAATGCATTACCTCTCTTTTTATTCAACTTCTCAGCAGCTCTAACAATGGACCCATGCCTATCTTTAGAAACTTAAGGAATTCTGCATTTCCTTCTGAATTCTAATGAGATACACACCACCATGCCTTCTTGTGCAGAATTCTGTTGAGTTGCCTCTCCCTCCAGCCTGGATTGCATAATCTCTGTGAACTCTGTGGCTCACCGTGAAACTCCTCGTGTTTCATATCTAGGCTTCCTGATTCATGTACTACACTCTTTCTAGATAGGCTTCTATGTTTTAATGAAACATGAGCACAGTCTGAATCACTCTTTAATTTTCATTACTCTGTGCTTCCGGCACATATGCAGTGAAGCTAGTAATTCACACGTTTTCCTTCTGAAATTGCATGTAATGAAAACATCTGGTAGAGGAAGGAAAGCAACATATTCTTTAAAGTTAAAAGAATTTGCGTTCATGTCTAAGTTTATCATTTTATGGACACAGAATTAGGCACAATCGTCTGTTGATATAGAAAATCATTTCCACTTTCTGAGAATGTTTTGAGGATTGATGGAAATAACTCAGCCCAGTGCTCGGCAAACGCAACAGCTCAGTCAGTAATAGATGTGATTAGTATTATGTTCCCTTCAAATAGGTTTCTTTCTCATGCAACTTTGTAGTTTCAGATATACTTATTAAAACTGTCTTATTAGTATGCCAATAGAAATTTGTGTATTCCAGCTTTTATTTGCTTTTTATTTTGTGATTCCAAAAGACAGACCACTGACTTCAAGAGATCCCAAGAAAGCTGTATGTTCTCTTCCAGTAGAAAAATTATTTTTAGAGAAAAAATTTACATATAAAAAGTTACATATTTATGGAGTTCTGTGTGATGTTTTCTTACACATATACATTGTGTACTGCCTAACCAAGGTAAATAGATTTGTCCTCTCAGCATTTAACATTTCCTTGAAATGAAACATCCAAAAGTCCTAACTTCTACATTTTTGAGAAGGAAACAAAACATACACTGTCTTCATTCTACAGTCAACAGAACCCAGAAACTTCACTCCTATCTAGCTATAACCTAGTACCTGCCAATCAACCTTTACCAATCCCACCCCCCAGCCAGATTCCTCCCCAACTTCTAGTAACCATTATTGTATTTTTAACTTCTATGTGATCAACTACTTCTTTAGGCTCAACATATATCTTGGCTTATTTCACTTAACATAATGATCAACAGATCCATCCATGTTGTCGCAAATGACAAGATTTCATCCTTGGACAGAAATATTCTACTACATATGTATCATATTTTCTTTATATATTCATCAGTAGATGGACAAATAGGTTGTTTCCATTTCCCGGTTACTGTGAATAGTACTGCAATAAACACAGGAATGCAAATATCTTTTTGACTGACAGATGTCATTTTCTTTGGATATTTACCCAGAGGAGGGATTGCTGGTTCATAGGGCAGTTCTATTTTTAGTTTCTGAGGAACCTCCATACTGTTTTCTACAGTGACTGTACTACTTTACACGTTTTGGATTCCATTTGCATGGTATACCTTGTTCCAGGCTTTTACTTTTAGTTTATGTGTGTCCTCAGAGGTGAAGGGAGGTGTTTTCTTTTTGTTTGTTTGTTTGTTTTTTGGACAGGCAGAGTGGACAGTGAGAAAGAGAGACAGAGAGAAAGGTCTTCCTTTTGCCATTGGTTCTCCCTCCAATGGCCACCACGGCTGGCACGCTGCAGCCGGCACACCGCGCTGAGCCGATGGCAGGAGCCAGGTGCTTCTCCTGGTCTCCCATGGGGTGCAGGGCCCAAGCACTTAGGCCATCCTCCACTGCACTCCCGGGCCACAGCAGAGAGCTGGCCTGGAAGAGGGGCAACCGGGACAGAATCCGGCGCCCCGACCGGGACTAGAACCTGGTGTGCCGGCGCCACAAGGCAGAGGATTAGCCTAGTGAGCCGCGGCGCCGGCCAAAGGGAGGGTCTTGTTAGCAGCACATAGTTCTTAAATCCATTCAGTCATTCTACTTCTTTTAATTAGAGAATTTAGCCCACTGAGATTTAAGGTAATTATTGATAGGTAAGGTCTTACCACTGCCATTTTCATACTTTCATTGCACTTCCTTCCTTTCTTTGTCCCTAAATTACACTCCTCATTTGTGGTTAAGTGCTTTTCTCGAGTGACGTACTTTGATTTCTTTTAGTAAGTCTATGTACAGGTTTTGCTTTATGGTTATCTTGTAGCTTTTAAAAACTTCCTTTGGCTATAACAAGCTATTTAAAAACATCACAATTTAATATTTATTATAACAATCAAACACAGGAAAAATACAGAGATAAGAAATTCTAATAAAGCACCCTACATTTGTGCTCAATTCCTCCCCACATTTTGAATTCTGATGTTACATTTGACCTCTTTCTATATTGTCTGTCTCTTAACATTTTAGTGATAATTTTTTTAGTCTTCGCAGAAAAGATTTACACACATATATAATATTAGAGCTTTCTGAATTTGTCAGTATAGTTAATCTTACCAGTGAGCTTTCTACCTTCTGATATTTTTTCCTTACTTGTTGGTGCCTTTGTCTTTCCGTTGGAAGAAATGCCTTTAACATTTCTTGTAACATGGGTCTGGCAGTGATAAATTCCTTCAGCTTTCGCTTGAGAATGTCTTTCTCTCTCCATCACATCTGAAGGTAGCTGTGCTGTAGACGGTACTTTTGCCTGGCCATTATTTTGTCCTTCAGTACTGTAAAAGTCTCATCTTGCTTAAACCTGGGCAGCAGGTGACCTGGGACCCCTTCAGCTGTTATTCGCCTCTTTTCTCTTACAGCTTGGAGAATCCTTTATCTTTAACCTTGGAGAACTTGATTATAATAGGTCTTGGGGAAGACTTGGTTGGGTTGAATCTCCCTGGTGACCTTTAACATTTTTGTACCTGGATAGTTATGTCTTCCTCTAGGTTTGAAAAGTTTTCAGTTCCTCTTGAATCCCTTTAATATTTGTTCTTTTATATTTAATATTGGTCCTATTCATGCTATCTCAAATGTCCCATAGCTTTTTTCATTTCTACTGATTCCTTTTATTCCCCTCTCTGTGTATTTTCAAATAGCCTGTCTAAAGTTCACAGATTATTTCTTCTGTTTGATCTATTCTGCTATTAGTGCCTTCTATGACAGTTTTAATTTCCCTTATTCTCTTGAATTTATTGTGTTTCCTTATAAGAGCTAGTTTGAAACCTTCATCTGAACATTTGGAAACTTCAGTTCCTAAATGGAACTGCTTTTTAGATGAGGTCATGGCTTCTTGGATGCTCCTGATGTTTGCTGGAGTACAATGTCATCTATACATTAAAGGATTAGTTGTAATCTTGCTTCATTTGTGGCTGTCCTCCTCTAACTTCTAGCTGGTCTGTTGGGCTGCTGAGGTGGGCTCTGCCCAATGCTGCACTATCAGCCATGGGTAATGCCAGCTGGTCCATAAGACTGCTCATCCTGGACCATATACTCCACAGAAAACTCAAACAGGTCCAGAGCTGTTTGCAGGCACTGACCACAGCACAGAAACTGTCAGAATCTGCTCAATGCTGGCGCTGGCGCTGAGTGCCAACACAGATCTGTGATCCCTTGTTGTCCAGCCAAAGTTGTACGAGGGGTGAGACAGGCAGTTCCTTAGCTCCTCAGGCAGCCTTTAGGTGGGTCACAGTCATCATCAGGTGCTATGCATTCTTGCGTGTGTACACCAGGCCCATGAGAGGTTGCTGGCGACTTGCGCCAAAGCAAGGCTGTCTCACCAAGGCTCAGATCTCTGCCAGACACAGGGGCAAGTCCAGAGACTATGGAAACTGAGGATCTGCCCGGCACTGGGCTTTACCAGCCTAGCACTGGCTTCTAAAACACAGTCCCTTTGTTGTCCCTTTGCTGCTCAAAATTGGAGGAGGGTGATAAAGGCTTCCTGACTGCCTAGGTTGCCCCCAGCTTGGTCACACTTGGGTCCCACGTTTCTTGGATTCTGAAACTTCCCAGGGATGCCCTCCAGGGCCATCTATAGCTGGCAATGACACACCAAAAACAGCCCAATTCAACCCACCAGATGCCATGAAAATCTAGAGGCTAAGTCTGTGAGTACCAGCTGCCTAATGAGGCTTTTGTGCTGTATCAGGAGCCAGGCCTTAGAGCTGTGGGCCCGGCTTTGAGCTCCAAATCAAGGTCCTAAGTCTCTTTTCCCAGCCTCTCTGAGTAGCTGGGGTTTCCCTCTTCTGCTGCCAGTTGGAGGACAGGTGGCAGTGACTGCCTCGCTGTGGAAGCTCCAAATATTCACTCCATGGACAAGAGTCTGGGGACAGGGGCTAACAGGCTCAGGCTGACTAAATCTCTTCTGGAGTGGGCCTGACCCTGGAATCCAGTTCTCTCTCCCTGTCCCAAACAGGGGATCTCTCCCCACATCGTGCTCCTTGGAGCTGGGGGAGGAGTGACCATGAGCAATTCTCCTTCTTACTTTCTTCGATGCAAGTTTCCTTGTGATTGTAAGACGGGCGCCATGGTCTCTCACCTGGGCTTCTGTCTACAGCTGTTCACACTGGTGTCTCTGTGGAGAGGTGGTCACCAAAGCTGCTTCCTCAGCTACCATCATGGCTCCACCTCTTCTTCCCATTTTTTTTTAACAGAGCAAATTTTACATTTTGTTATTCCCTGTGATGTGCCAACTTGCTGATGCCTAATGCCTCAATCCATCATTGGTCCTCTAAAATCTCTACCTATCCAGTGCATGTGACTGGGATTAACACATTTAACCTACCTGTTCTGCACTGGCTACTAGGACTGTATGTGGAAGTCCACCATTAAAAATAAGGCTGCTACAAGAACCAAATGAAAAAGCTCTGACAAGCATGAACTGAAGCTGAAAGCTCTTGGGTAAAGTGATAGGAGAATACTACGTATAAAAGAAGACAGAATACTGCAGAGAGCGATTGCAAAGGTCCACTCTAATAGTCACAAGATTAACTGGACAGCCAACCCATTTCATGGTGACATGTTTTCACCTTCTGTTTACCAACATTGTTAAAGTATGATCTATATGCTTCATGCAACAGATTTCTCACAGTGCTACATAGAGCCACACATTCTTTCAAGGACTGGAATATAGAAGTGAAGGCAGCAGAAAAAGCCTCTGCTTTTATGAAGTTGACATTCTCGGGAGGACTAAGGCCATAAACACATATACAGTGCACTGATGGGTAGCAGGTGCAAAAGTTCAGACAAGGTCAGGGGCAAAGGGATACTTTTTGAAATAGAATGGTCAGAGAGGGAGAGCCACAAATGAAGTTTGGGAGTGAGCATGCAAACAGACATGGGGAAGTGTCACCTTCCAGGAAAGAGCAAGTACGAAAGTGCCAAAGCAGGAATGTGTTTAGGGTGTCTGAGGACCAGTTAGGAGACCATGTAACCAGAATGACAAAAATGGGAAAACAGGTAGAAGAGACGATTAGATCCTTTCAATTCTGAAAGCCATGTAAGGACCCTGAATTTTATTCTGAATGGATGGGATACCATTGGAAACCTGAGTCATTCTTTTTTAAAAAGGAAGACTTTCACAGATAAGTTCAGAAATGCTAAAGAGAGTCAAGGGTGCAAGCAGAAAAGCCAGTAAGAAGAACTCTGCAACGATCCACTCAGGAGATGACCAAGGTGGTGGAACCAAGAGGGTTAAGAGTAATCAGATGCTGGTTCTCTTAGAAGGCAGGACTCACAGGACTCACCAGCTTGATTTACTGTCATCATCTGCTCTTTACTAACCTGCACTGGGACTCCAAATTCATTTTGCCAGGTATTACTGTTGCCCACCCTCCTTTTATCTACAATTCTCCAAAATTCCTCAGAATATCACTAAGTAGCACGTACATTCTCCCCCTTGTGCTGCCCATGGGGATAGCAAGGGCTAAGACACACACAATGACAAAGATTTGGGGTTGCTATCCGAAACAGAAGGGTCCATGGAGCAGATACACACATGAAGGGAAGAAGCACACAGTTCTCAAAGAATGTTCTATATGAGGCCACAGCAAGTGCAAACTGCAGAAAACCCTTTAACATTGTAATAACAGCTAAACAGACAGGGATTTGTAAAAGGAGTTTATACCTATAGCAAGAAAGTAATTCCATATGAATTCTGGATAAGAGGATTTAGAAGATAAAAATAGTTGAAGAAATATAATTCTGGATTCATCATATACTAATATGTCCCTTGGGCAGTAAGATTTACTGACAGGAATAATATTCATGGCCTGATAATCCCAGCAATTTACAGTCAAAGACAGCCAGCAAGCTAACTGCAGACTCTGTAGTATCTTCTTAAAATCAGCTCAGCTATGTTTCTTGTTATAATAGGGAACATTAGGTAGTATTTATAGCATATTATTAGATAATATTTATAGTACTACGTATGTTTATATTAATTGAAGGTGTTGATCATTTTTAAAAATCTCATTAACCCATGAAAACATTATTTAATAAATTATTTTTTAAAGAAGAAAAAATGGCCTAGAAAAGTTGTAGGGAAATGAATGGGGCCACCGAGCCTTCTTTGAATCACAAGGAAATGAAAATATTTTATAAAGTTCATAATGTCCAATGCATATTAAAACTAAAGTAACAGAAAACTCAAAAAATGGGATATCAAAACCAGGAAAGAATCCACCAAGATACAAGAATGCCTCATCAAACTTTCTATTAGATTCATGATTCAAATTAAATTTTAAATGTAAAGATATACCAAATATTTATCACTAATTCAATATGATAAAATGTAGTATCCATAAGACAGAATATAAAGTTAAAAAAAAAACACTTATTTCTTGAAAAAAATAAAATCAAAGTTCGATAATTTATGACCTAAAGTGTCGCTCCCCCTCTTCATGGAGGAACGACACAAAACCCTGCCTAGGCTTCATATCCGAGTCACGGCACCATTATGTCGCTCCCCCTCTTCGTGGAGGAACGACACTAAACCCTGCGCTGTTCTTTCGTCTGCTCGGCCCTCCCCGGGTTTGCTGCTGGTTCTTCCCGGGTTGGCTACTGTCCCTTCCACCTCCGTGGAAGGGCGGTTCCCCCTGGCCACTTTCCCCACTTCCGCAGGGGAGCGGCACACCACCGGCCAGCTCTCTCGGGGGCTGCACAGGTGTTCCCTTAGATGTTCCCCTTAGATGTTCCTGGTGCATGCCGTCTCTCTCCTCCTTTATAGTCCTCCTCTGCCAATCCCAACTCGGCTGCCCACACGCCAAGTACGCTGCTCTCCTCCAATCAGGAGCAAGTCCTACAGTTTATTGGCTGAACTGGAGGCAGCTGTGTAGAAGCTGTTTTCTTCTCTCCCAGCGCCATATTGTGGGAGAGCAGATGCATAGAATAAGTCTTAATTCCAGTAACTCAGTCTAGTCCGAGCTGCTCCCCACACTAAAGTCATTTTAATAAAGGAAAATCAAACCAAAAAACAAACTTCCATTTCACACACTTCCATTGCATAATGGTCTGTTTATTACCATTATGTATTTAATATTCAATTTAAATAAATCTCGAGTATATAAAAATACTATCTGACAGATATAATTGCTATTAGTTTTATGAAAAGGGCTGTCAGTCATTGTTAAAGGAGAGATGAGGTTAGGGTCCCTCATGCACACAAGCATGATTCTACTTGGGATTTTGTCTTCTACTCACCTGAAGAGGTCTCCAAATTTGCTTCTGAGGTGGCTACATGACACATAGAGATCGTAGAGGTAGGCTAAGATGCATCTTTCGGGGGAGGAGCATTCCGAGGGGTTTACAACATGCTTTACCACACCACACAACCTGAAGGGGAAAAACACACGAAGAAACCCAATGCATATTCTCCTAACACACAAGGTATTATCTGACTCTTTTAGAGTGAAATTATGTCCATATACTACTTGAATAATAAGAAAGATATTTGTACTGAAAATAATCATATAGCAAATGGTGAATAACCAGGTGAAAGATCAGTTTCTATCAGGATATTGAAACAGTAGATACAAAAACAACTGCAGATATGTCACTGACTACAAAACCAAAGGCAATCAAAGATATTCCCCTGTATATAGAGGTAGGAGTGGAGGAATCCACCAATTAAGCTGCTATGACCAGGACACAAAAGGAACCTCACAGCAGAACCTCTCTTCAGGAAGATGAGTCACACAGTCAGTCACCTTGCAAAGTTCCTGAGTTTACTCCTTTTTAAAAGAGCAATTTGTCAGAGCAATGTATCTGGGAAATACACTTTCAAGAACATGAGCTCATTCTGGTATGAAGTTGAACGTGTGTTTTGGTGTCATATTCTGTGGTTTAGCCAGACTAAAGTTTATTTTAGTTTACCTTATATAAAAAGATAAAGCCCTTTCTTGTTAGTGACATTTTCCATAACTCCTCCCATTCAGAAGTACCCCTTCCTACTCCAGTTCTGGGCCATGAGAGCTGTAGCTTCCACAGTTCATAGAATACAGAAGCCCGTCCAGCACAGAAGTAAGCACTAGTGTTCCAGCCACCCGAGTCTGAGTCCACTGCCATCTTGTGTTCTGTCACAGGGTCACCCATACACTTCACTCATGGTGTCACAGATGACCTGGGTTACTCAGAAGTGCTGCAGAAATCATCTTGTTCATTATCCTCCTTACACAGAGGTGGCTCTGCCGTGTATTTGCTGAATCACAAAGAGCTAGTCGACAGCAGAGCCCAGAGGAGAGTGTACAAAGGGGAAAGAGGAAGGCAGGAGTGCACCTGGGATGTCAAGGTCACTGAGGACAATGGAATCACGGGTACCACAGGTGGAACCCAGGAGACTCCTTGAAAAAAATGGCAATGTGGTCTCTCAACTCCTGTGAACTGATGTCAACAGATGGAGCCAAATAAATGCTTCCAATTACAGCAAAACTTTCATACAATTAAGAGGAAAAGTAATGATTTAGAAAGTCCTAATACAACCTATAAAGACAGTACTATCTTATGACTGCTACAAACAAGCACATATTTGGAGTTGGATACAAATACAGTGTACAGCAGCCACTGCTTCCTCAACTCCTCTCATCTCTTGTTGTAGACAAGAAAAACATCTTCTATGGTGATCTAGTATACTGATTCACACAAATACAAAAGAAAAATTATTTTGTGGAAAATACTGACTATAAAGTAAAAATACTACAAAGCTAGCATCAAATACAATTTTATGAAAATTTAATAGAACATAAATAAATGATACAACAAATTCAACATAACAATACCAAAGACAAACAATATGTAAGGCGGCACAAGTGACAGAATGCTATAAATGAGGGGCTCTGTACTCTGAGGGAGTGGGAGCTGAGGAAAAGGTGGGGAACAGGAACAGAGGAGAGGCCATACTGTATTAGACAGAACCTCCTTTACACCCTTGTGTCTGCTTTCTGTGCAATCCTCATTCTTTCTTTTCACTGAGACAGGTATCAGTACTCTTTCCCTTTACAATCACTATCCTACTTCACCATGAACTTTACATTCTAGTACTGGCAAACAGTGGCATTTTGTATACCAACCCTTCAAACACCTGCGCTGTCTGCTCAGGGTTCAGGATCAGACAGCTGTGGTACCGCCGGAGAACGGCCACGATGCACACGCACAGTCCCGTGGTATAGCTGCCCGCCAGGCTGGAGGACTTCAGGAGCAGTTCTGCTTCTACAACACTCAGCTCATTCAGTAACTGCAAGAGGCGAAAAGACTGAGTGACAATGGAGGCAAGAAAACTCCTGCTTTCTACGGACTATGACTATAATGAGTCACTCAAATATAGTGCCCAGGTCAGAAGACACATTCCAATGAATTAAACTGGTTTTTATTTTTAACCTTTGATTCTTTACCAATTTAAAGAGCTTTCCTTCCGTCTAGACTTCAGGATACATACCATCAGGAAGTCCCAGTGCTGAAATAATTACTGAAACTTTACAGCCAACCAAAGGTCTGGACTGCACCATTTTAGAGAGCAACCCCACTCCTCACTTTTTCCCCCCTTCTTTTCTTTTCAGTGACATGGAAGTTATTTGTCATTCTTGTCTTCTTAATAACAAAGCTAATACAATCTGTAGAATAAAACAATGGAAGCCAACTCTTATTCCTAATCACTAGTAACAGAATGCAAAAAGTAAATTGAAGTGTGTTTAAGAAATATTGATTTACATTTGCTCTTAACCTAAATTATATTGTAGAGAGCAAACAAACTTTCATCATCCTCTAGGCAAAATATCACCAGGTTTAAAAAAAAAAATTAAGACTCACATTTTCAAGATAACATTTTTACTACTGGGTATAATTAATTAAAAACTACAAACACAACTACAAGTAAAATATGAGTTGCAGACTGTTAATTCAGAATGATTCAATTATTCAACAATGCACTGCCTCCTTGAAATAGTGTTACTGTATGGTAAGAGGCTTAGTTTAAATTGTACAATGCCTGGTAAGATGGCTCTCCTAAAAGGAAGAGAAGCATGGTGAGTGTGACACCTGTATTGCAAAGTCAATGAGCCCATTGATGTTCAGTGCTGGTTCCATGAGATCAAAGATGAGCTGAATGTGGTGAGCCAGAGGGAGATGATAAGATGTTCCCGATGCAAAGCTTGTGATTTGTTCGAGCACATTGTTAGAGATCTGTGCAAGAAAAGTGGAAACAGTCATAAGCCAACCTTTGTTAGATAAATTCATTGTTAAGCAAGACATTTCAAATCATATGTGACACTACTTAGAAAAAGACCTAATGCCACAAAATCCAGTAATATGTACAATTCAAATAACAAGTCAGATGACTTCCTCATAATTCAAATAAATATAGTAAGTGCTCATTAGCAACAGGATCGTAAAAGTCCTGAAGGCAGGAATACTACAAATGTTGAGTTTTTAGGTGCACATATCTAAATATTAATGAACAAAATAATATAGTTTTGGTTTCTTCTCCATTTCATACTATTTTATTGCAGTCATCAATAGATGCTACCTTATGAACAGCAATGTACGACCCAAAGGTAATGACACAAATATTATATCAAGTATTATTTTATATATTGATTATCATAAGTTTTAAATATGTATATGATTTAAAAAATTCTGAGGAAATTGACTTGACACTTAAACATGAATTACTCAACAGTTTGAGACACTTCCAAGTATTTTCAGAAAAATCTACTTAAAAAATCAAATGAAGACTGGAAAGATATGTTGCACAAAATGACTTCTGAAGGAAACAGCAATGTTCCAAACACAAAGTATAAGTTTTAAGGGACTACCTGAGATGTGACCTGATGCTGGTCAAAGTACGAAAGGAGCTGGAGTTTTGTGAACACAGTCTCCAGTGTTGGGAAAGTTTCTTGCTTGTTCTTCCTGGCTTTTTGTCCTTCATCCCCACCTAAACAAACCAAGTAGTTATTTCCATGTAGCAGAAGTTCTTGACATCTTTAGTGGATACTTTTCATTAAGATACAGCATATATACTGAAAAAGTTAACTGAATTTCTGCAAAATGAATGCACTCATGGAAGGAGACACAAATCACACAACAATGTATGGACTCAAACCCAAGAAACCCATAGGACCCCTCTGGTCACTTCTCCCTCCTTAGGGGACCAAGATTCTATTTTTTTTAAAAACAATTTTATTTATTTCAAAGGCAGGGAGACAGAGAAATAAAGAAACAGAGACAGAGAGATCTCCAATCCACTGGTTCACTCCTCACATGACTGCAATGGCTGCACTGGGCCAAGCCAAAGCCAGGAGTATGGAACTCAATCCAGGTCTCCCACGTGGGTTCGAGAGTCCCAACTACCTAAGCCATCACATGCAGTTTTCAGGACCTTCATCAGGAAGAAGTTGCAATCAGGAGCCAGGGCTGGGTCTGGAACCAGGCACTCTGACACCTGATGAAGGTATTTCCAAGATTCCGACTTTTACAAAACTGGATTAGTACTGCCCACCTCAGAATTTTTTAGACATGAAACCATACAGTATATAATTTTTAAATGTGGCATGTTTCACTCAACATTCTGCTTTTAAGAGTGATTCATATGATTGAGATTATTTTAATTTGTTCTAAAAATTGTAATTCTCACTTAGGTACAGTATTATGATGTGTGACTATGCTATTTATTTCTCCATTCCACTGAGAAGTTTCTAGATTTTGGCCATCATGAAAAGTGCCTTTATGAACATTTCTAAATAATTACTTTAATTACAAAGATATCAACACAATACAGTGGGGAGAAATCATTCAGGCTCACTTTGACATAATGGGATGCTGCACTGTAGATTCACCTCGATGCCTTTCTAAAACAGTTTAACATGATGAAAAAAGAAATTCTTGATTCCTCAGCTTTTAGAAGTAACAAGAAATTAAACCACTCTACATTGATGGGAACATGCTGTGTTTATCAGTTTAGCATGAAGAGTTCAAGGAAACTTCCAATTAAAAAAAAAAATACTATGAACATCTTTTCCAGGGGAGACTTTTGTTCTTAATAGCTCTATAAAAAAGATCCCCAAAATAGATTGGATCCTACTTTTAAATATCTTTATGTATTTACAAAGATAAACCTAAAAATCACAAAGTTAAATAACATGATTTTTAAGGTCTTTCCAACACTGATTCAGGACAAGCACTCTGCTATTTGGTGAAGTTTAATTTCAGAGAACAAATGCTACTTTAACGATTTCTCTATTAAATACAGAGGACATAAACAGGATTTCACTGAACCCAAAAATATTTTGCTAATGGCAAATGCAATGGTTTTAGAAAACACCATGAAAATAAAGGAGATTCATCTTTCAGCAATAAGCACTTATTGCTTAGAGCAAAAAAAAAAAAAAAAAAACCATAAATATCAATCCCTAAAACTTGATACTTGAGTACATCAAAATTAAAAGGTGCTAGAGTAGCACGAGCTACAAACCTATGCCATGTGTGAAAGCAGCATCGAACATAATACAAACAATAAGTGGCAAATTCATTCAACCCACTTCTTTTTTTTAATCTCAAAATAATGCAAACTTAAGCCTGCAATTCTGCCCTCACCATGGCTGCTCACATGTCATGAGAGTGCTTAAAATGTCCAAGCTGTGAACTTTTTACTTACAAACATCACTGATCCAGAGCTAGAGTTCAGAATAGTCTGGGCACAAAGGGCTTTGAAAGTCAAGGTAATGCATTAAGTTCCTATGAGCAAAACAATAAACAAAACCAGGAGAAGGGAGGAAGGAGATTCAGTGTAGAACTCCCTGATGTACCTATGTACAGTTAATGTCTAAAACCTCATAGAAAACAATATAATTGTCTTTTTTCTTATAATTTCCATTCATTTTAAAGAAGGAATGTGAGAAACCAGCGTTGGCTGTCCATTAATATATTATCTATTTTAATGATCTTCACATAAGTAATAACACATTCACAGTACCTAGACATTCCTCATCTGTTGTTGATTTGCTTTTATAACATATTATTGGTCTTCACTGGCTTCACTTTGGCTTCCATTTCAAAAAAAAAATATTTAAGTCTTGACAGTTTTGTTCATCAGACTAATGATTATAATATATAATTAATTTGAGATCAATATAGTAAAGCCCATCAATGTTTTCAAAAGACACACCACTGATATCCAAAAAAGATGACTGGTAATGCAAACATAAAAAGTCTGACCGTGTTCAGCTGGAAATGTGATTCAAATCTTAAGATTACAAACATCCCTAGGCAGGGTCTGTCTGATCTGACAATACTCTTAATGGGTAGATGCCTCCAAATCTTACTTTTATGAGTTCTAAGAAATCAAATAAATGCTAACACATGCCCTGCTTTCCTTATCAGACTTTTTTGTTAAAACAAAATAAAACACAACAAAAAGTGCAACATTTCCCCTTATCTGAATTACAGTCAGCTAGCTTCTGGTGCATACACTAAATTTTAAGTAGGATTTAAAATTAAGAGTATTGGTGCTGTGTCATAACAGGTGAAGCCACCACCTGCACTGCTAGAATCCCATATGGGTGCCAGTTTGAGTCCCTGGCTACTCCACTTCAGATCCAGCTCCCTGCTAACATGCCTGGGAAAGCAGTAGAAGATGACCCAAGTCCTCAGGCCCCTGCCCCCTTGTGGGAGACCCAGAAGAAGCTCCTAGCTCCTGGCTTTGGATAGGCCAATCTCCAGCCATTGCAGCCATCTGTGGAGTGAACCAGCAGGTGGAAAACCTCTGTCTCCACCTCTGCCTCTTTGTAACTTTGCCTTTCAAGTAAATAAATAAGTCATAAAAAAATTAAGAGTATTTGCCACAAAGCAACTCACTGTACCCCCTATTAGCATCTTTCTGATGGAAGAAATCTAAAATGAAGGATAGACAAAAATCCTCTTTGAAGAAGTCACGCCACAGTCGTGTTTCTATGATTGACATCTCCAGAAAGCGGCACAGCAGATCACCGGTTTTTCCTTTGTGAGCTCATGTTCTAGAGATGCCTATTTGAGGGATTGGTACAAAGATAGGACAGACCGTAGTCTGGCGCTTGGACAAAGTGTGAAGGAAGGAAGACGACTCTCAGGAAAGGATACAAGTCGCTTCCTTCCCCTTCCCACTCCTCTCAGCATTCAAAAACCAACAAGTCCATGTGATCTGGGAAGAGCCTCTAAAATAATTTAGATAAGGCATGTATTACTGGAGATAGAGTCTTGCCAATCCAAATGGATCAGGAGAGGTTTCAAATATTCTTTGGTAGCTGGTGCAGGGTTTCTAAATTCATTCTTCTAAACACAACCCATTTCCTCTTTTCTCTGAGAGACAGAAAACACCAGATAAACAGTTTTCTTAGAACACTCTCTTTTCCAAGCTCAATAAGGACAGGCCAACAAGCAAGTTTCATTTCCTCCTCACAATTTGGTTGTGGCCTCAAGGAGCCAGCACAGCACAAGGTCCCCACCAGGCAATGGGTGGGAGTTAGGGGGTGTGACAAAAATCCCAAGGAGATGGCTCTCCCCACTGTGTCCTCAGGACTGGATGCGATGAAGCCATCAGACTGCAGCTCAAAGCCAAGGCATGTGTTGGCCCTCATGACAAGTTTCTGCATGCCGGCCCCTGTAGACTTTCTATTTGCATTACTTAGACCTCACCTTTTCTTTAGGAAAGACTGAATACAGATATGGTCAAGCTCTAGGAATTCAGCCTACTAAAGTCTAAAGACTGGGTCACCTGTGGGGAGAGCTGCAAAAAATGATTTTGAACTGAAAACACAGCAGGGTTCCTATAAACGCTTTGCACCAGGTGCAGGAAAAATGCATTGGGCAGATCTAGTTTCATTCTTCTTTATGGTATTGATATATTCGATAAACACCAATGGCAGGAGTGGGGTACATACGGTGATATCATCTTTGAAGTCATATGACCGTCTCGTGAAATAAACAAACCTTGACAAAAGTAATCAGGCCAAGGTGAAGTGGATAATTAGAAACTTCCAATTACACAACATGGTGACATAATATGAAGACACACTTCACTGTAAAAACTACAGTGTAGATTCCCCCCATGTAAAAAACATGGGGAACAAGTATTCCAAGAAGGCCTTATGGAGCAAAGACCAAGTTTTCTTTCTGACTTGAAATCGTCTGGTGATAAAAGCAGTCCTCCTTACTTGTCACATCTGCACTCCTGAGTAAGGCACAAAGAGCAGCAACTACTATCATGATTTTCAATTCACATGCAGATGGGAGTGCCCAGACTAAAAGCAAACCCCTGGCTTGAAAAGTGATGGAGGAGAAGGAGGGAAAGGGACTGAGTGAAGGTTTTCTAACCCATGCTTCAACACTTCAGTTATCATTATGACTGTAGGTAATTTGGGAAGCATTCAAAAGAACAGAGACTAAAAATGACCTATGCAATATGCTATCCCAACACAAGGGTTACTATAAATGGGATCAATGCCTTGACATCTAAAAGTGCTTATTCACATTCCAATGTGACAGTCATTCAGGAGGGGAAACTCTGGTGGCCATGACATACAGCATGATAAAGACAGTGCCAAGCGGGAAGACAAAAGACACTGTCATGGGAGCGAACGCGTGAAGGTTCTTTACCCCCGGTCTCCGTGGTGCTCTTCTTATTCAGGATTTTCAGGATATCTTTGGTAATCTTCTTCAGCTGATGCCTCGCTTCGTCACGCTCTTTGCCGACTCCGTAGAGAAGGATTGTGCGCTGATTACATTCATGACTTGAGGATTCATCCTGAAAAGCAGAAAATGCATTCTGAAAGCTCCGTGTGCCAGGGTGGGATTGCACTGCACCTCCCCAGGGTGCACTAGCCACAGCACCTCCCTCCATACTGGCTGGCGGGGCGGCAGCCCACCCACCACCTTTCAGCTCACCTCAGCCTCCACTGGCAACACCCTTGTTGCACCAGTTTGGAACCGCTAAAGTAAAAAACACAAAGTGTCAACTGACCTGAAGGCTTAACAGAAGCATTTGATGTGGGCCTACACTACAGAGTAAGTTTTGGCTATTGAGAAACTTTTCCTTTTTTAAAGTTAAACATGGTAGTAATTTCGCAGCACATAACATTATCTAGTCATATCCTTAATGAAAAAGTTTTTGCCTAGTAACCTTGAAAATATATATATATGTATATATATATAAAAAACAGTAAAATATTTTACATTGGGAAAAAAGAATCTTGTGAGGATCCTCCAATACCTGTAGGAAATCGTTCCATTAACTTCCAGCACGATGGCATGAGATGCATGGATATTTATTTCCAAATGACGAAACTATCAAGAGTGTAGGTCTCATTAGGTGTGAAGTAAACAGGTGGAAATGCAAACATGTTTTGATACCACTGCTGCTCCTTCCTGGACCACCTCCTCATCCCCACCCCCACACAATGAGTCCAAGCACTACCTGTGTTTCTTTTCTCACCTGGGGAAAGAAATGATTTAGTCACATCCTAACAAAAATCATGTGCACATGACTATACATGTTCCTCAGCCACAGTTCAGCAGTCTGGGATGTGTTCTCTCTCGTGCCTCGTTTTGGTTTTTGTATCTGTTTCTCCCTTGGATCTTTTTTTTTGTTTTGTTTTTTTTTTTTTTTTTTAATTTTTTTTTTTTTTTTTTTAATTTTTTTTGACAGGCAGAGTGGACAGTGAGAGAGAGAGACAGAGAGAAAGGTCTTCCTTTGCCGTTGGTTCACCCTCCAATGGCCGCCGCGGCCGGCGCGCTGCGGCCGGCGCACCGCGCTGATCCGATGGCAGGAGCCAGGAGCCAGGTGTTTTTCCTGGTCTCCCATGGGGTGCAGGGCCCAAGCACCTGGGCCATCCTCCACTGCACTCCCTGGCCACAGCAGAGGGCTGGCCTGGAAGAGGGGCAACCGGGACAGAATCCGGCGCCCCAACCGGGACTAGAACCCGGTGTGCCGGCGCCGCTAGGCGGAGGATTAGCCTAGTGAGCCGCGGCGCCGGCCTGTTTCTCCCTTGGATCTTACAGTCTTTTCTTCTTAGTCCACTTTGCAGCTCTATCCTGGAGTATCTCCTTTTCTTACTCTTTATGTCTCTCTGGCTAGGTCAAGTGCTTACACTTCCTATCAGCACTGCATCCTCAAAGAGTTTACATGAGAAAGGAACCAAATGGCACCACCACATTCAAAATTAATAATAACCGCAACCGCGAGCCAAACCTGCAGACTCAGAGAACTCCAGTGTTTTTGCAGGAGCTCATGTGAATGCTCAGTACAAAGCCCCGTTTTGCTTCTGCAGCTTTTAAATAAGGACTCAGGACTCTGTTACTTGGCTCCCCATCTGTTTTTTCCCCTCCCACACGCTTGCCTTCAGGCTACCACATCCTGACGCACTGGTTCCTCTATTGTTGCACTCTACCATAAATATGCTGCTGATCTATTTTGCTACTACCCCCCACCAAGAATTCTTAATGCGTCAGGTGTTCAAATTCACACACATACACACAAAGCTAGGAATAAGTTTCTCTTACAGAGGATTACTAATCTATTCCTATTTTTGTCTGGTGGGGCATGCATTTCTGAGCCCTATGAAGGGAAAAGGAGGGTGTTGGGAAAGTTGAACAAAACTTATGCAGTGCCAGTCTTATGCTGGGCGGGCAAGTATTTTTAAAGTGAAGGCACATTGGCAAGTGGCCCTAATGCAGACATGTGGGTGAGTGGGAGATTTAGCAAAGCCATTCAGTAATTCTTCACAGAGTCTCTACCTAGGGCAAGACAAGGTGCTAGTAATTGTGAGAAAATAACAACGCTGGGTCATGGAGTCAATGTCACAAAAGTAACTTTGCAGAGCCAGAGGTCCAAACATGGGGGCTGACATTCTGGAACGATCCATGTGCTCATCACAACCACTCAGGCTAAGCACAGCCATGCCAGACCAACCACTGCCCAAGCCTGGGACAGGAGAGGGTTTTGACTACATCCCCAATGGTGCCGCTTGCCAATGCCATGATCCTGGACAAAGAATCTTTGAGTCTTAGATTGTCTGAAAAACAGAGACAACACCACCTTCCTGGTAGGGCTGTGAGAGAAACACTGACACAGTATGGTGAATGTGTAGGAGCCCAATGGACGCAGAGCTCACTGCTCATTCATATCCCAGCCTGCCGCTCCTCTCTCACATGCACCCCAAACCCATCCTGCCCTGCATCTCCCAGTGTGTCTCAAAAATCCTGGGCAGCTCCTTCCTCTGCTGTTGCTTTTTCTGCCACCTACGAGACTCTCAATGCCTCCATTTCACTTGCTGCAATGCTGTGTACAAGGACAATATCGGTCTCTCACCTTCACTGAAGGCCCCCAACACAGCAGCAGGAAAGCAAAGGAGACTTTGCAGTGTTTCTCACAGTGTGATTCATTCATTCTTAGCTACTTCTTGAATGCTTGTCTTCCCCCACCAGACTGTAACTTTTGTGAAAGATTCTGAATTTGTTTTCATATTTCCTTTTTAAGTACGGAGTTGGCACTTACTATTTGTGGACCTAACTTGCACTTAATACAGAACAAATAAGTGAACTACTCAACAAAAGCATGGCTAATGGAATAGGGTGAGGATGAAGGTAAGAACAAAAAATGAGTTTTGGTAGGAAACTTAACCTGATAGTTCAGTGCTGAGAAAGGAGAGAATTCAGAGACAGACTGGAAGATATAGAGAAAAAAAAAAAATCAGGGGAAACTAAGTCTCAGTGATAGATATAAATACTGAGAAATAAAACCAAGAACTCTCTGGGGGAAGCTGGGACAGACTCAGGCACCTGAATGTGAAGAGTGAACGTGTGTCTCACTGGACTGCAAGACAGACCACTAGATAAAACGTACTGGCAGAATAAAAAAAGAGTATGCCACATAGGTATGGAGCTCTTAAATTCCCCTGTGAGCGTAAGAACTTTGAGACATCGGTGGAAATGTGTCATGTGTGTGCTGTATTTGGTCTCAGGTGGGCACTGATATGGTAGTGACAGCTCAGTGGTAATTGTGCTGAGTCTGAGAGGGGTGCAAAACCTCCAGGTTCTCTTTAGGTTAGGAGAGCAAAGACAGCTGAGATACAGGACTATTAATGTTCACGATTACTAGGCAGCCCTGCCAATCGGGTTGCAGAAGTCGGGGAGGGCCATCAGCAATGTGTCAAACGGAGTCAGCGTCACAATGCATGCCACCCTCCAAGTGAGTTCATAAAAACACCACGTGTGGACCTCAAAAGAGAAACTTCTCTAGAGTGGCAGGGGAAGCAAGCAGGAAGCCAGGCGTTGAGGTCAGAGGTGACTGTGAAATGGTGAAGGCTGGGAAAGTGACCCACGTTTCCCAGAAGGTGGGTCGGACAATAACTTGAGAGGAAAGTCAAAGTTTTAGTTGAATCGCCAGCCTCCAACTCTCACTTCAAGGCTGTGTGTCCAATAAAGAAGTCACTGTATAAGATATCAAGATTGGAGAGCAGGTATCTGATAAAGGAGAAAGGGGACAATGGCCTCTTGTCTGAGTTAAGAAGGAAAGAATGGACCGTCTTCCTACCTGACTGCAGGGAAAGAAAGAAAATTATGAAAAACAGAGAAATGTGGAGGCAAAAAAATGAGAACCTTAAAGGAACTCAAACTAGTTTACTGGCCCTAACAGGCTGAGGGATTTGGACTTGAAAGCAAAGTCATGACTCGAGCAAGAAAGGGAGGAACTGAAAAGCTAGAGCAGCCTGGAGCTGGGCAGAAAACGGCTCCGTGGGATGGACAGGCAGTATTTGTTTCCCAGGGCTAATATTTTCTGAGAAATCAGGAATGCTGATACTATACCCGCCTTCAAAGTGGATAGGCAGAGACATTTAATTTATTTTTAAGGTTTAATTATTTATTCGAAAGAATAATAGAAAAAGATATCTTCTATCTGCGGTTTGCTCCTCAAATGGCAGCAGTAGCCCAGTCTGAACTAGGCCAAAGCCAGGAGACAGAACATCATCCTGCCTTTATTTACAGGCTGGAACACAAATACTCAGCCCATCCTTCCTGGCCTTCCCAGGCACATTACCAGGAAGCTGGATCGGAAGTGCAGCAGCCAGGATGGAAATCAGCACTCCAAATGGCATGCAGCTTAACCCACTGTGCCAAAACACAGGCTACGGAAATATTTTAAAACCTACTGCTTTTCGGCAGCTTACAAGATTTGTTTAAATCAGGATTATTTTCTTTGGTAAAAGTAGAAAATGTATAATCTTCCAGTAGCAATTCATATCAAGTAAGAATAAAGTCAACCTAAGAAAATGTACCAACTATTTCCAGAAGTACTAATGACTTCTACTCTTTCAAGTTGGAATTTAAAGATGCTCAAGTTGCATAGACCTGAAATCTGCAACACAAATTATGTTGTTGTTTATTTCCTGAAAGACGAACTTGTTGGGCAAGAAAAGCACCTGCACAGCCTATAGGAAAAGCCAGGCTGCCTCTTAGATGCTGGCCCCCCTCTTGCCGTGGCCTGAGTGGGCTGCCTGCCCTATAAACTGAGTTCTGGAAACCTCAGCCTCAAGCTCAATTACTTTCTTTCTCCAAATATTTCCTCACACACACACTTTACATTTAATTGATCAAGAAACTAGGAGGCTACACATCCAAAATCCTAGCAGGCTAGTCTCTTGAGCCAAATATTCCTAGAAGGAAGAAACACAAGCCAGCATTGTGGAGTAATGGATTAAGCCACAGACTGAGACACAGGTATCATATATGAGTGCTGGTTCCAGTCCTAGCTACTCCACTTCTGATCGAGCTTCCTGGTAATGCATCTGGGAAGGCAGCCCAAGTACTTAGGTCCCTGTCACTCACAACAGAGACCCAGATGAAACTCCTGGCTTTGGCTTGGCTGGCCCCGGCAGTTGCAGGCAGAAGAGTGAACTAGAGGATGGAAGGTGGATCTCTCTCGCTCTCCCCAACCCTCTCTCAGTCTCTGTCTTTGTATCATTCTGCCTTTTAGATAAATCTTTTTTAAAAAGGAAAGGAACAAATTGAGTCTAGGTCTGCTCTAAGTCATCTTCATTTCTTTAAAACAAGTGATTACAAACATTGCCCAAATGTGGGTGCATGTTCACAAAGATGTGATAACAATGATGAGCTTATCAGAACTGTGTGTTCTTCTTTCATCTTATTTAATTAATCCAATAATCCTAAGGTTTTGAAATAACTAACATACATAAAAGGAAATAAAACAGAATTAGATTGAATGCTGCTTCCTTTTCTTCAAAAAGTAGATGTACTTGTTAAAATTCAGCAATTTATACTTCAATGTTTGTACATGCAAATATTCAAATGCAAACCCAGTACATATCATGAAGTTAATTGCACATAACACCTCTCCTCATACAAAAGTTTTTAAAAGCAATTTATTTAGCTAAAAATTTTACTCTTAAAAGATGCCTTTAAACATGATTCTCTGATAGCTAAGTGCATCTTATCCAGAATAAAATGGCTTCAAATAAATGTTCCATCAGCAATAAATAATAGCCTTGGGCTATGTTGAAAGAATGGATGTGTGCATGGAAAAGGAGACTGTTAAAGGAACAAGGACATTCACAGCTTATTTCCATAAGTGACCATGCCTGAGTTGGAGTGCCTTTTCTGTAAATAAATGGGAGACATACTTAACTGCATTGCACAGGAAATCTTTGTTCTGTTGCAGTCCACAGTGTGACTGGCAGGAGTATTAAACATGTGTACTGTTCATCTGATTTCAAGCCACATGCTAAAGACAGAGGCAATAGATAACTGGATCACAGGAGGTAGCATTCTGTTTTGCTAAATACTCCAGTGCCTGGGGACTCGTTATTTTGGGAATCTATTGTGTATCTAACCTACATTTCTATACTCTGATGGACAATACCAAGCTAGCTGACATAAGCATGCACTTCCTAAAACACATGTCCTCAATCCAAATGCTCATTGATGCCAAAATGATTACATCTAGAAACAAACTGTTATAACTAAAGAGCCTAAGCAAAGTCTTAATGATATCTCACCCTCCTGCCCAAAGTTAGTTTCACAAGGGCCACAGAGTCCTACCATTTCAAGGAATGGTTCAGAGTGATCTCATTTGAAACTAATACTTTCAGACTTGGTGAGATAAATAAAGCAATTAACTCACTTCAAAGTAAGTATTCTGTTCACTTGTCAAAGCCATTTTGATCAGAGAACTCAGCCAAATCAGTTGTTTCAATAGCACAAATGCAAACTCTATGAGTTGCTGCTATTTATTAATGAGGTCAAAGTGTACAACTTAACTCTACTTTCAATTCATGATAATATACTTTTGCAACCTCAGACACTTTTGCTTGAAAATTTTATTCACTTTCAGCAGGAAACTAGCAATCAATCTCCAAAGAGAAAATATTATCAAAGAGGGTTCACAGACAGGTGTGTACAGATGTAAGTTAAAAGTGGGAGAAAGAAAAAGTTATTTTGCAACAAGAACTAGAGTCCTCTTTTCATCCTTCAAAATGCCTATCGATTTGGAAACACAAATTCTCAGTAAGGTATTATGATTCAAGCATCTGGATTCAATTTCCCTTCAGTATGGTAAATTTGTTGAAAATAATCACAATTATCTTTCCTAAGTCTTGTTTCAATTGCAGATCCTAGATATCCACCGTAAACATCCTTAAGACTTCACAAATGGGTGCAAAGACAAGTGGTATAACCATTATTTTACTGAAAGAAACAGCCATTCACACAGGGCATTCGCCCCCTCACACTGAGCCTCTGTGGAGTGGTGGAGGCTATGGAGAAGTGCCTCAGGCACACAGCAGCTATACTTGTATGCTACACATGTATGCAGACAGCACCCGTTAGAATGCATCCTCCTATTCACTGCACAGCCCTGCTCCTCATTCCCCCTCACCCAGAGAATGGGGACAACATGAGCTGCTCCTTCAGAGAACAGCTGAGATAGTAATTCATACTCACATAGGAAATCAAATGCTGGCTATTATCCTTCTAAAGTACACCCACAGCATTAAGGACTCTTTTAAAAAGTAGAATTTTGAATATCCAAACCAACAAACGAGAAAGGTTGATTAATTTTTGGTTATAATAGTCTAATTTAAAAATAGAAACACAAGCATTTCTTGAGTTTACTATCAAACACCTCTAAATGACCAACAGGTGGGAATTACTCCTGAAAATTATGACTGAAATTCATACACTGATTTGAAATTCTCAATGTCAACAAAATGCTCATGTCCATTTAAATCAGCGGTCTTTTTAGTGTGTCTGACCATCACAGGAATGCTTATCGAAATTCAGATGGGGGTTGGCCTTTGGGGCGTCCCAGGTTTTCTGACTGAGGGCTCTAGGCTAGGCTGGCACCCATGAATGTGAATTTCTAACAAGCTTTCAGGTGATGCTGAGCGGCTGCTAGGTACTCTGAGAATCACTGATGGAGATAAGTAACACATGCAGAGATACGCCTATTCAGCACTCAGAAGTGGGAACTGAAATGTGATGTTGCAAAGGAATCTATTCAAACACTTCTACTGCCAGGGAAGAACATTATCGTTCAAGATATTGTGGCTGCACCTGCACAGTAACATTTATATAAAGGTGACACAGCAACAGATGTTACCCTCCAATTTTATCCCTACCCTCTCTTTAGGCTTTTTTGGTTTAAAAGTTAAAGAACTATATATAAAAGTGATCCATGGATGCTTTAATTTAATGGCTTATTAATTTTCCCCTAATTTTAAAGCTAGGTAAAAAGAAATACACAAAAAAATACTGATGTTTAAACTCTATTCAAGAAAAGCATGCAGGATACTTAGTAAACTCGGCTATGGATACAACTGTTCTTTTCTAATGTAATTTTGTAATCTGATAATTTATAATGGGAGGAAACTGTTTGGTCTACAAAGGAGTTAATCAAACACAGATTTAAAATAATGATATTATTAACCAGGAGAAAAACAAGGGGGAAGAGACTTACCACCCCAACCAGCACACATTTGGGGTTAATTTAATTATTTGTTGGAAGGTAATGCATCATGCAAAGCTTAGCACAATTTGTTTTCAGGTAAATAACCATTTTAGAAAGCAAGCTTGCAACCTTCTCCAGGAAGCACACTTTGAAGGCTGGAGCTCAACTTGGATTAACATTTGTGTGGAAAATAACCAAAGGAAGTCCAAGTTTTAAATCATCAACTCCATGGCAGGTTTCAGTAAAAAGCTGGAAGATTTTAAACTACCTTTTAAAATGCGTCTTCTCAGCCATCCTTGCCCCACATTTCCCAGGAAATAAAAAAGCAGAAGTCCTAAAAGCAGACAGATGGAAACAGTGTCTCCATAGCTGCCAGTCTACAGTGTTTCGAGGTAATCGGATTGTGAAGCCCTCTCTCTTTCTCCCTCTATTTCTTTCTAGAACACTCAAGACTTCTTGATGAAACCAGCAAATTTTTATTTTAACCATAAAATGGTTTGGAAACTAAACTAAACAGTGAATGGGAAATACCAGATGCCTCTCTGCAGGTTGCATTAACTACCACTTACTGGATACATTCAAATCTTTCAGAATCAACAGAGAAATCAGGTAATGTTCTATCTAGAAGTATTTGACAAATATATGCAATTACACTATGATGTGTGAGCACGTTTTTCCAGATTTTTCTTAAAATTGCAATAGCAATGCAATTAAATAGCAATATCAATGCAAGTACGTGTTTGAAATAAGAACTAAAATATAAGTATACTAATGGTATCAGAGACAATCATTAATTAAGCTCTTCATTAAATATTCAAAGCATGGAAATAAAATTTATATATTCATTTTACTTTAAGCATAAAATGAACTTTGAATACAGAGCTAAAATTCTCAGTAACAAGAGTATTTGTTAAATTTACAGTCCATGCAAAATGAGCATGGACAAAGCAGAATTTCAAAAACTGTCAGAGAATGAACTGAGAGCAAACAGCAATAACAAGGAAGGTTAAAATCAGTGATCTGGCATCAATAAAATATTGAGTGAAACAGGTGCAGAAAATGAAAGCTATACTTGTGTGACAAAAAGTTCTTAGCTGCCTTGCTTTCAGTGATTAAAGGGTGTGAAGAAAAAGAACTCTTAACATTTTGGAGTGCTGAGTGCTAGCTTTATTTTTCATATTACATGGAATTTTTGCTTTCAAATTTAAATGTGTAATGTCATCATTACTGTGTCCAGTTATTAGGAGACATAGTTGAAGAATCAATTTCTGTGTCATTGATGAATTACAAACATTAAAAATTTCACTTCACATTTCAGAGCTCCTAAGCCAGATAGCATATTCAATCAATTATTAGTTTTCTTTCTAGCTTCCTGTTGTGGTAATAATCTGTAACAGGAGTCAGATATGGTTTTGGTGATTTCTTTTGGCTACCATTAGCTACTCCATCAACCTAGAAAGTACGCTCTGGCTGATTTGAGGAATATTAACTGAGACTCTCATAATGCAGGCCATCTCCTCATTTCTTGTCTTGTATTTTATACTGAACCAAGCTCAAAATGTACACGGCAACTTCAGATGCACTGTGCAAAGTGCATATGCATGGGTTAAAATATTTGGAGCTAAACAATGAATTTCTGTGAGGTCCATTCTGAATGGATGACTGAGCAAAAGAATGGATGTCTTCCAATAACGCCTCTGCATTTTTAGCTCTAATTCAGTATTCTATTTATTTAATAAATTTCTCAAGAGTGACTTAACACCACTCTTTTTCCATATTTTTACTTTAAAAATCAAATGGGAAATTATCAGCCATTTTTCATTTGAAGCTTTGATGTTACAAGAGATGAAGCCCAGGGGTAAGGAAGGTGTAAGAAAAGTGACTCCGGAAACTGAAAAGTTAGAAGGCATGGAAGGGAATGAAGCTGCAAAGAACAAAGTGTAACCCAAATAGCTCTTCTAGCTTTTATATATTAACATAGGTGGATTCTGTCTAGCATCAAAATGTGTTGATGAGGCAAACGTTCCACATAGAAGAAATGCAAAACATTTCTATCCGCAGGTAATGGGCTCTACACCATTTTACTTTGCTAGAGGTGCAACATGCGCCAACGAGAAAGGGTTAGAATCCGTTTTCCGCGTTCCTACTCACTGCCACTCAAGACTAGAAGCTTGAATTTCCAGAGCAGACTGTGTCTGAGAGAATTTATAGCAATAACAACAGAATCAACTACCTGGGACTGGAAATAACCATCCCCTCCCTCCCTCTCCTCCTCCAGGTAGCAGAGAAGAAATGCAAGCCACGGACAACCTCACCTCCGTGCCAGGGAACAGCAGTGTCTGTGCCAGAGATTACAAGATCACCCAGGTTCTCTTCCCACTGCTCTACACTCTGCTCTTTGTCACAGGACTTATCACAAACAGCCTGGCAATGAGGATTTTCTTTCAAATCCGCAGTAAATCCAACTTCATTATTTTTCTTAAGAACACGGTCATTTCCGATCTTCTTATGATTCTGACTTTTCCATTCAAAATTCTCAGCGATGCCAAACTGGGGACGGGACCCCTGAGAACCTTTGTGTGTCAAGTAACCTCAGTAGTATTTTACTTCACAATGTACATCAGCATTTCGTTCCTAGGACTGATCACTATCGATCGCTACCAGAAGACCACCCGACCATTTAAAACATCCAACCCCACCAACCTCCTGGGGGCTAAGATACTCTCGGTCGCAATCTGGGCATTCATGTTCTTACTCTCGTTGCCCAACATGATTCTGACCAACAAGAGACCAAGGAACACAAATGTGAAGAAATGCTCTTTCCTCAAATCAGAGTTTGGTCTGGTATGGCATGAAATAGTCAATTATATCTGTCAAGTCATTTTCTGGATTAATTTTTTAATTGTCATTGTATGTTACACACTCATTACCAAAGAACTGTACAAGTCATACGTACGAACAAGGGGTGCAGGCAAGGCCCCCAGGAAAAAAGTCAATGTCAAAGTTTTCATTATTATTGCTGTATTCTTTATTTGCTTTGTTCCTTTCCATTTTGCGAGAATTCCCTACACGCTGAGCCAAACCCGGGATGTCTTTGACTGCACTGCCGAGAACGCTCTGTTCTACGTGAAAGAGAGCACTCTGTGGCTAACTTCCTTAAACGCATGCCTGGATCCCTTTATCTACTTTTTCCTATGCAAGTCCTTCAGAAATTCCTTGATGAGCATGATGAAGTATCCCAACTCTGCAACATCTCCATCCCAAGAAAACAGGAAAAAGGGACAGGATGGTGGTGACCCAAGCGAAGAGACTCCAATGTAAATAAAAGAACTACCTGTCAGTGTTCAGACTCCTTCTAAGAAAGCACTCAGTGAAACCATTAACACTGACTAGGTAGTAGCTGAATTAGTGATAATGGCTCTTGAAGCGAGTCACAAAAGACCTTCCCACTACTAAAACCTATCAGAAAGTGTGGAAAAATAACCTAACCTATAGCTGCACAGCAAAACAAACCAGACCCTACCGCTGTGCTGCACGCAAAATCGCACATAATTCATGACTTGCAGGTTTGACAAAGCAGAAAACCATATGAAAATACCTAATGTAATTTTAAGTACATCATAGATCAATTTCTTTTTTTATAATTAACTTAGGAAGAATGATAAACCCTATGTAATCTTCTAACCAAAAATGAAACTTATTAATCCCCAATGACTTCACCAAATCCTGATCTAAAGTGACACTTAAAGAAATTTAAGTGAATTATACAAAGAATAACAACTACTAACTTTTAACATTTAGCAAAAGCCTACAAGATACAAACTAATTGAAATACTATTTGATCAGAAAAATGTTTAAATGTTCATTAAGAAGATATTTAAATACTTTTCTAATAAGCACTAGAAATACCAAATGAAGTCATTAAATGAACAATTACTTTTATGATACCCAATATTAAAATAATTATGAATATTTCCTTATCACTAGAGAAAGAGGTTTTACTAATACATTGACAACTTCAACAGATGCAATATCACTGCTGCTTTTCTTCATTAATCTGCTTCTAGAAAATACTTGCTACTTGAGTTAATGACCATTTCCCCTTAGTGAAACAACAAATTCCATCTGATTACAGGGTGGCTCAGCATGAACTACTAAAAACAAAGTGACTGAACAGTTTGGAATTACCTACTATATTTGTGTGTACTACATTAAAAAGTTATATTAAACCTGAAATCATAGTATGTTTGGATTTCTGTGTTCAAAGATATTAGACATCAGGACTTACCTCCCAATACAACTGTACCAAACATCAAACCCTTTTAAGAAAAGATGTCTGCCAACACTGTTTTACTACTTGCTACTCTGTCAAACCTCTTCTGAAGATGCCATCTCCCCTCAAGTAGCTCACATGCAAATACACAGATCAGATGTGGCACTCAGAATTCATGCAAGCCACATTCAGTATTTTTAACATAAGCAAAATATATAACATCTAGATGTGGAAGTCCACATCATTTACCTCTGTTTATGATCCTCAGAGGTGATTCTCAAACCCAAGGATGCATAGACAATAATACTAAATGCAGTGCCAAAAGACAGCGGGTCACAGTGAACTTAATAATAGATTTATCCAAACTCATCATCATTTCTGTTGAATTAAATTTCAGTACAAATCCAAACTCCTTTAACTCCCCCAAAAGGTATTATTTCTCAAACAGCTGTACTTCCTTCTCTAACACAGCTTATAAAAGAGCCACTGGATGTCAGTGGAGAGGCATACAGAGCCTTGCATCACAAAGACACATATTCTATATATTGCTGGGACAAACAGCAGTTTTTTCTGCATAAATTTGGATGTTCTGTGAGAATACCAGGATCTTGGACCTGGATAAGAATCTAGAAATCAACTAGATTGGTTTAAACTTATTTTGCATATTAAAAAATGAAGTACAGATCCACTGCTAAATGCTTCCAACTCAGGGGTGGTGTATGGAATAAAAATGACCACCTCATGGGGACACGGAGACCAGATGCTGGGCAATTGTAAGGTGTGTGGTATTACTGTAGTTTTGTAAAGAAAACTGCCAAGTGTTTGCTATTACCTATGATTTATAGGTATATACCTAAATTGAACATTTCACACTAAACTAAACCATACTTTGTTGGGACTTCTTTATTCATAGACATTAGGCACCATATACTCCTACATCAAATATCAAACTGAAACCACTCAAGACAGTCTGAGATATCAATACCTGGAATGCTCATTATACATGAACAAGTAACTATCTATGGCTTTAGGTATATTAATATGTATTAATCAACTCCAGATTTCACAGTAACTTTTTAATTTTTATAAAAGTGCAGACAAGGTGTAGACTCTGTCACAGAAGTGAAAAGCTCAGAATATGAGACAATAAAATAGAGGTGCCATAGCTTATAAAACCTAAGGATGCTAGTTATGATTTTCTTTGGTAGTTTCTCAAAGATAAAGTCTAAAGTAGGCATTGGCAAACTATAGCCCACAGGCCAATTCCCAGCCCCTCACCGGTTGTATAGGCTATGATCTAAAAATGTTTTATATCTTTAAATGACTTGGGGGGGGGGATCAAACAAGAAATACAATCTTGGGTCACATGAAATTTGTATTTAATTCAAATCTCAGTGTCGACAAATCATAGTTTACTACAACACAACCACGTCCATTCATGTTTTATCTATGGCTCCTCTCATGTGACCACAACAAGGCTGAGTTGTTGTAAGGGTACAGCCTGCAAGATTATTTCTGACTCTGTAGCAGGAGATTGCCCACTTGAGGAAGAGTCCTTTAAAAGCGGAAGAAAACTCTTCACAGAAAAAGAAGCCTCTTTTTATGCACCCGGGTGTTGAAGTAGCTTTGCAATGAAAACACTGTGATCAATGCTGTTGGCAGCAGCCGTGGTGGAATTAGAACGCTGCTAGTGCGAACTGAAAATCTGAACAACTTGTACACCTTACGACTCAGCAGGGACTGAGAAACAACCTAGTGTTTGTTAAATGAGGGGGCATAAGACAATATTTAGGGGAAATAGAAATTGTCAATAAAACTCCGAAAAGATGAATACCCTCATGAACAAGCAAGTAAATTTATAAGCCTAGCTTTTTTCACCTATTTGTTTTTAACTGATCTACAAAATTTTTAATAACAGCATTGGAGAATCCCACTCTGTAAAAGCCTATAAATTGTGGCTGGCGCCGCGGCTCAATAGGCTAATCCTCCACCTAGTGGCGCCGGCACACCAGGTTCTAGTCCCAGTTGGGGCACTGGATTCTGTCCCGGTTGCCCCCCTTCCAGGCCAGCTCTCTGCTGTGGCCCGGGAAGGCAGTGGAGGATGGCCCAAGTACTTGGGCCCTGCACCCCATGGGAGACCAGGAGAAGCACCTGGCTCCTGCCTTCGGATCAGCGTGGCGCACCAGCCATGGAGGCCATTGGAGGGTGAACCAGCGGCAAAAAGGAAGACCTTTCCCTCTGTCTCTCTCTCTCACTGTCCACTCTGTCTGTCAAAAAAAAAAAAAAAAAAAGACTATAAATTGTTACAAACCTGGAATCATATCTGAAAATATCACTTAACATTTTGATGTACAACTTTTAATTTATAGGACACTTCAAACAAGTATGGTGGAATAAATGCTCTAAAATACACTAACATGTATGCTCTATAAAACATTGTTTCTAACAGGGAAAAATTAGGAAAAAAAAAATGCCCAGAGGTAACAGGTAAACTAAATTATGATAAGTTTATGTATTTTTATTGCACTTATGAATGATAAATACATATGTATTTCTTTTTCTGCTCGGTCAATCTTCACATACTAACATGGAATGAAACAAAGATTCAACATGTAAATAAAATGTAGTTATATATGCACACATATAAATTGATATGTACTCACATGTAAGGGAGATTAATGTTCACTTTCTACTATACACACATTTCTATTTGAATTTCTACAAACATGTTTTCCTTTTACAGTAAATAATTTGAAACTATATATTAAGTGTTTAAGATAATATTGCAAACCTATTGCCTATTTCTAGTTACATATGGAGATTTTCTAATATTTATTTCTTTGCATAAACAGATTGCTAGTTTTATTGTTAAATTACATAATGCTTGGTGACTTTAGCTTACTCCAACATGGAATTTTTAAAGCAATTTCACGTAATGAAATAAAGAGCCATGGTATTCTTTGATGGGAAGTCAAAGTCTCTTGTAGAGTACAGGGGCTGTCACTGTGAAAGCAAGCACTTCCCTCACCTTCTGAGATAGTGTTTATTCCTTAGTAGGAATCCCTGAACTTCACTTTGGTTCAAGTGAACAACTGCAAAGACTAGAAATGGAAACAGTAGTTGATTCCCCTCTGGTAGGCTAATTCCTATGACCTCGCATTATGTTTTTTTTTTTGGATTCCTTCCTGATCACACTACTTTAAATTAACTTATGCTTGCAAACTCAAACCCCATCTTGTGGTGCAAAGTTTCACAAGCCCATTTTACTTCGTGGTGGATTATCCTTCTCATGCATCTGTCAGGAACTCCCAAGATCTGTTAAACAAACACATCTTCACCTGCTCTGCAGCTTCTGCGAGGCAGGATGAACCAAGGTCCAAACGTGGACAGTGGGTCTGCACTGGTCGTGGGTTCCATGACTAAGAGAAAACTGCTTAACTTCTGCATTTCAATATTCTCAGATCTAAATGGGACCAATATCTGAGGGTTTTTGTAATTTTTAAATATTATGATCACGTAGAATATATAGTTAGCGTGACTGAATTGATTTTCATTATATTTCCTTAGAGCCCAATAGGATTTTAAATCTTTAAGTTAGTTGCATCCGGCAGGTTTCTAGTTTCTGGGACCTTCACTGTCTCTTTTTTGAGTCTTCTCTTCTGTCCTGGATGACATATTCTGAGACATTGATGGTATTCCAGTTTTAACTCATTTCGCAAGAAACTTACATAGGACAGGCATGATTTTAGAATACTTGGTGAAAAACTAACTCATTATATTCTCTTGAGAACCATGTGAAGCAAACACTACTATTTGTTTCCACTGTAAAAAGAAACGCAATCATTTCACAGAAAGAATAAATAACTTGCCAAAGGCCACAAGAAAATAAAAGTTGAAAAAATAATTGATCCCAGGCCATCAGGCTCATGAGACAGTGCACCTAATCACTCTGCTGAATAGCTACCCAGATGTACCCTCTAGGGCCAACGATCACCCCACCCACCAGGGGTGCTGACACTGCTATGAGAAAATCAGTTAATACATACAGAGCTTGAAAAGAGATAAATGAGAGGCATGTTGAATATTTACTACAAATACTTTGAAACCTACCACACTGAAAAGAATACATTTTCGTGATTCTGAAAATGAACACTGTAAACTGGTTGGTTCCTCTTTTGAAAGTTTCCTGTGTTGGCATTTTGAAATTTCACTGAAATGTGATTTCCAGTTTTCATATTATGAAATTATCCTGTACAGAATTTCCCTTGTATAAAGCAAAACTATTGTGAACTTTCATCTTCTAGATAATGGGTTTGAGATGGTGGGAAAACTCATAATTAATTATATAAAGGATATATTTCTCTACTTAAAAAGCAAAAATGAAGGCTGGCGCCACAGCTCACTAGGCTAATCCTCTGCCTTGCGGCGCCGGCACACCGGGTTCTAGTCCTGGTCGGGGTGCCATTTTCTGTCCCGGTTGCCCCTCTTCCAGGCCAGCTCTCTGCTGTCGCCTGGGAGTGCAGTGGAGGATGGCCCAAGTACTTGGGCCCTGCACCTCATGGGAGACCAGGATAAGTACTTGGCTCCTGCCATCGGATCAGCGCGGTGCGCTGGCCGCGGCGGCCATTGGAGGGTGAACCAATGGCAAAAAGGAAGACCTTTCTCTCTGTCTGTCTCTCTCACTGTCCACTCTGCCTGTCCAAAAATAAATAAAACATAAAAAAGCAAAAATGAAAAGCTTTGTTTTTA